TGGTTTCCAAGGATATTTTTAGAATACAGAAGGAAAAATGCCAGACAGGAAAAAACTTTTAAATGAACCCCCAAATAAAATACCAGAAATAGAGCATATGTATGCAAAACCAAACAGCTTAGGAGGCCCAGATAAATCTTTAAACTGTTCTATTCCATACTGTCCTAGGATTATTAAGAAGGTAAAAAGATATAGGTATATAAATTTTAAATGACAAAGAACAAACAACATTTAATACTAGTTTATCTTTGGTTGCCTCCCTTTAAGCATTTGATAACCCTGGTGTTGAACGAAATGTTAGAGATCTATTTGAATGAGCAATAGCAAGAGAGAGAGAATACAGAATTGGACCATTGCTGTGACTGCTGAGAAATTGGGTAAGTCTTCTACTAGAATGGCACACAGAATAACAAAGAAACTATGCATGCTACTGGAGAAACACACTCTCACAAAAATACATAAATTATAGTAAAAGCAAGCTGGAGAGGAAGAACAGTGACAATGGATGAGGAGAAAGAAGTACACTGCATTTCTCCAGGCTCTATGAGAATCAGTCCTCAAGAAAGAGAAAATGCTGATGGACATTTTAGATATGTGTTGTGCTAGGAAGACTCGAGAGTCATGATCAAAGGTTACAGAACTAACAGAGACTGCATGAGACATTCCTCCATGCAAGTAAAACAATATGACACAGCAGGCAGAAAATGATTAAAAATTTATATTACTAATCCAGTGATAATTAGAGCTTTACTGCAATTTACAGTGCAGAGATACTGAGGTATATTCCTGCGCTGTTGTCAAGGTAACCTGTAAGTATGTAGGTGTGCTGGCCTTTATATCAAAGTAAGGAAATGAGAGCCAACATGTGCAGAATCTCTTTCCTTACAATTGAAAAGGTTGAGACTCAGTTGGAGAGCAAGAAAAGCTGGAGTAAATGCTAGGAGGAATTGCATGCTAGAGCTAATTCCATGAAGATGGAGTCTCCTCCCAAGTATAAGACCAACAGAGTCTGGAGCAACAGGCTACTTTCAGATAGGCTGGGAAAGGCTAACTCCTGAAGTGCTTCAGATACATCTTGTGTCATCCTGTACAACTTCCTGAAAGGTGGGCATAGTCAGGTGGAGGTTGGTCTCTTTCTCCAGTCAGCTACTGACAGAACGAGAGAACACAGTCTCAAGCTGCACCAAGGGAAATATAAGTTGGATATTAGGAAAAAGTTTTTTATGGGAAGAGTGATAAAGTACTGGAATGGTCTGCCCAGGGAGGTGGTGGAGTCACCATCCCTGGATGTGTTTAAAAAAGGACAGGATGTGGCACTCAGTGCCATGATTTAGTTGAGGTGTTATGGAATGAGTTGGACTCGATGATCTTAGAGGTCTTTTCCAACCTAGTGATTCCGTGCATGTGATTCTGTGTGTGGTATATCTTCAGCATCAGTACTCATGTTACCCACAACATACTTTTGTTAATTATTTATTATTTTAAATGATATTTCTTGATTCTGATTTGAACTGTGATTCCTTACCAACTAGAGTGCCACAAGCATTTGTTTTTTCATTCATGCCACATTCTTGGCCAGTTGATTCAAAGAAGAATGCAAAGAGGTGGTTAACACAAACGAATCTCACTTTGCAAAAGAGGGACAGAGAGGAGTAGAAGAAGAGGTAAGAACATACACTCTGCCAGTTATTGAGTCTTCAATGAGATCTGAAAACTTGTTGAGGTATGACCAGTTCCTAGCACCGAAAAAACAAGCTGCTTCAGGCACCAAATGATGCTGGACTGCTTAAAGGCTCTTCATGCCTCTGTCTCTTTTGCCTGCCCCCTCTTCTGCCCATTCTCCACTTGGACAGGCCTGTCAGGGACAGTGGCAGAGCCTCTGAAATTCCGGGGCTTTTCTCACCCTGTTCCCAAAAGGGCAGTTTGTCACATCAGCATCCACCAGAACTGTGATTTGTTATAGATAAATTCTGCAAGGCCTGGTCCTATATAAGGGTAATAAAAAAGCCCTCACAATGATTCAAAGCAAAAGATAAAAAAACCAGTATAATTATGGTAAGTAATCTAAAACCCCAAAAAGACAGGAATTCTCAAGGCTGTTTTAAAGCCTACAAACCACTAAGTAGTGCTAACTGCAAAGTGCCTGCAGTGTGGATGAAATTTGGACTGTACAATGAGCTAATTCATGTTTTAATAAATCATAGTTTTGTATGTAGCTTTTGAATTCGAAAAAGACACATGATTTCCCACACATTTCTGGAATACTATGCTGGAATATTAAAAAACAGAATAGAAAAAATAATCTTTTCAATGAGCTCCTATTTACTGTGGGGTATTCTGTTGCTCAGTAGTCACTGTATTCTCCACCATTCATGTGTGCAGACGAGGTTTCCCACACTTGACTCAAAATGGGCTGATGCAGAATTAAACTCAGCCACAGGAACGCAGATGCTTCAATGGTAACTGTGTCCACTAATGGAAAGCCATCTGCTATGTCTTAGACCAGAGATGTAATGTATATACATAAACACAGGGATGTCATCCTAACCTGCTGCTCTGATGGACATCACCAATTCAAAAGCTTTCTGCTGTAGCACAATTTCACCTACCCACCAAACAAAACAGTGAGGTAGGCTGATGCCAGGTTGATCCTATCATACCATGTCCCAGAGCCTGGCAGTCTGAAACTTTTTCCAGAACATTTTCCAGATTGACAGGAACTCTTTTCCCTAAAGTTATGATGAAATACAAAAATGATGAAATGTAGGCAGGGCACTCTATTCTTCAGCCTAGAATTCACAGAATTATGGCTAACAAAAACAAACAAACAGAAGGTAATCCTGATAAAGCAGCAATTTGCACAGGGTTAATAATCAAAATGGTTGCACCAGCAAGACCTTACAAAACAAACCTCTTTAATTTGGGGATTTCAGGACAGTTTACAAACCAGTACAAAAATTCTAAATGCATACTGGAGCCAGGGACAGACAAAAACTCCAAATAAATGTGTGATTTACTTTAGTCCACAAATAAAAGAACTATTAAAACACTCACAGGTAGATTACAGGCAAAAAAAAAAGAGAAAAACCTGGACCACATAAGGCAATCCACAAAAAAGTCCTAAAACTCCAGTAGATCTGTTGCAAATCTTGTCCCAAATGTACAAACTTTAAGTTAAAACTGGATACCCTTCAAGCAATTCATAGTATCTCAGATATTCATCTTTGTATGCCCAAAGAACAAATATATTGGGCAAAAAAGCAATTTGAGATCCTCAAGGACAGCTGAACAAACTTGTCTTTTATCAACCCCTTCAGCCACATTACCCCAGAAATCCCTACAAGATTCAGTCTCAGTCCCTGTCCAAACACAAGACACTTATGAGTGACAGGCTACATTTCTGAGTGTACAAAATGCACCCTGACACAGCTGAATTGTCCACCAGAGTAGACTTCAGAATCTTCAGCAACAGTCAAAGTGTAGCACTTTTGCAGAAGAGCCCTCTCTGTCACTCACTGTTGCCCCATTTACCCAGACACTGCTCTGTCCCTTGGGAAGGGAATCACAGAGCTCACCAAGAGCCACAGAGCTGAGCTAAGGCAGTGTCCCTTGAGTGCTGCAAGGACATCCCCCTTCCTGTTGGGGATCCTAGTAGGATGGACTGCATATGCCAATCCCTACATGGCTTTGGTCACAGAGGGCTGCAAAGATATTGCGTATATCATGACTAAAACTTTTTGAAACGTTTCATAGAAGAGGTTTGCTGGACAAATTCTTCCAGCACTGCAAAGTTATGGGAAGCAGCTAACAAAGAACTACATTTATGTAAATGAAAACTCAAGAGATGTGATGCAATCCTCTCAACCAGTACCTTGGCAAATCCACCTGAATGCAAGGTGAGTCTGTTTGCTTTCAGAGAATAAAGGGAACGTAAGTGAAGGGAAAGACCTGTAAGCAAGCCAGCCACATATGCTGATCTGAACAGGGGCTGGGATCACACAGAGGAAGAAGTGGGTGAAACTCAAGATTTTCTTCAAGAAAAAGATTCAGATTAGCTTATGTTCTGAGTAAACATTTAAGAATGTTCTGCACAATGGGTATTCTGAAATAATGTTTTGAAAAACATTTAATAAAGCATTTTGCTCCAAGCTACTGAATAAGTCTTGAGTGAATCAGAAAAATGACAATGGCTAGGAATAAATTATACAGATATTTGAAAAAATCATAAAGCAGTGTTCTTTGCTACCTTCACCTGCAGCAAGGAAAATTTACTGATCAGTTCAGTAGATTCCATTCATTTTAATATCTTCTATTTTTTAAACAAGGCTAAAAACTGTGATCATGAATACTTCTTTTGCCCATGGGAAGAAATTAACTACAGGAAGCAAAGATTCAGTGTTTGACTTTGCTTTAGCAAAACAACATAGTTAGAGGTCTCTAAGGAGATATTCTAGAACCAATTGCATAACAGTATGTACTGAGAGTCCAACAGCTTGTCAAAGTACAAAGAAAGCACAACAAAGCCAAGCTGCCATTAGTGAAATGAGCACATATTATTAAAAAGGCAATTTGCAGTTACTGTCGGATGGGATTGTGGTCTTGCAGTGTGCAAGTTATGTTTTGGTTACTTTGACACTTAAGAATTAAACCACTCTCCCTTGTTTCAATCCTTGGTTTTAAAAGAAATCAGATTTGAGATATACTAGATCTATTTCAAATTTCTTTCAGACTCTAGTCCACTCCCAAGATTTCAACTATCCAGGACTTTAGCCATCTGAGAAACACAGGCTCCAACACAAGTGTGTGTGAGCCCTTTCCAGTGATTAATGATGTTGCATCACCAGTGAGAAAATATCTCTTTCCATAAACACTCTCACACACCTGAGGTTGTGCTTACCATCTTTTAACTTGGATGTACACATCACAGATTAGAAATGTGAGAGGGAGGGCCAAAATTCATGTAACCAGATAAGAGGCATTACCTTCAGCAAGACACATACCTTTGTGGTATATAAAACATGTGTTGTGGAGGGGGCTTATAGAGAACTCCTTCATACACAGGCCACAGACCACTTAAAATTCTGAAGAGTGAACTCTTTCCACAGCCATTGGGTCCAGTGATTAAAAGATTCATCCCCTCCTCAACCTGCAAAGGGGATGAACGTTCAAAGATGTTACTACACAGTGTATGTGGCACAAGAGAGACTAAGACCCCTAAGAGGGGTTACATAAACATTTATATAAAATTATCAACCAATTTCATTGATTAGCTGCATGTATTTATGCAACTATTCTGGAAAAAGTGGAATTAGATAAAATATGCAGGCTGAGATCACGAAAATATTTTTATTATATCTGAGTACCTCTATAAACTAATGTTTACAGTAGTACACAATAGTAATATTTATAGTAATGCATTATTATATACACATAATGTAATATGTAATACGATTATATTACAGTGTAAATACATCACAGTCAGAATCAACTGGTCTAATGCAGATTAGGTTCAAAGTGTTTTAAGCAGTGTTGTGCCTATCTGTGATATTAACTGCAGATATGGAAGGTCAATCGTGTGATTTGGAAAATTTATTTCACATTGCCATTTCCCACTTAATTACCTATGTTAACTTGGCTGTGATGCCAAGGATTTTTTTTACTCACTTGACTGTTACCCTGTGGATATATGAGTGTATATTTATGCATAATCACAATGCCATTATCTATGTTTTACAGAAATATACTGACTTCTGGATTTTCTTCGTTTCTGTCTCTTGAGACAGATAAATAAATAGAAATGTCTGCCTGATCATGAGGTTGTAATTTTACAATTCTGAAATTCCTACACTGAAGATGTTGCAAGTTTTGCCATAGCTAGGACCCTTTCTTCCTAGTTCCTAATTCAGAGGAAAAAGAACATCCTGCTTTAGCTAAATTAAAAGATCTTCTGTTAAACTTATTTCTGATAACTTCAACTCCTTTTAAAAAAGAACAACATCTGCACTGGAACATCAGATCAGGATACATATGAGAGTAATTCAGTAAAGGTCACTCATTAAAATTGTGAGCAAGTACCAAGAGGTGTCTGGAACAGCTTTTTAAAAACAATACAAGTTTCTACTGAATAAATCTCCCCAACTGGACTTGTGAACTATGCTGTCAGCTATTTGTCAGCACTGCTCTTCGTGAGTGTTCAAGAAAACTCTTTGTAAGTGATCAAGAAAAACTATGGGTTTGATTTTTTCACTGTTGCTGTGGCCTCAGACTTTTAAAGGAGCCTTTGTGAGTAAAGCATCCCAATTTGATTGAAATTTACTGGAGATGGATGCATACTCCATACACACCTTTGAAAACCTCAGGTCAGTTTTTCACCTGGCAACAGCAACAGAAATCCTCCCTTTTCTTTCTCTGAGCAGGACAAACTACATATGTCTGCCTCTATTGAGCTACTATGCCTACCTTTCTGGACTTCCCCTTTTATCCATATGCTCCTCCAAGTACTTAACATAAGGTATATGAATTCTGTGCTGTTTATGTTAATGTGATGGCAACAATCAGAAGATTCTTGCATATCATCTTACTTTGAAGTTTAGTCTGGAAACCACCACATCGCCATTCGGAGTAATTATAGGAACATTTTCACAAATAATTCCTTGATCAACATCAATTACTTTCCCTAGAAAGAAAAAAAACCAAAAATTAGAGTCTGTGAAACCCTCCATTAAGCAATCACTTCTGACAGCCTCTGTGCTACAACTGAGTATATTTTCAAGTAAGGACTGGTGTTTGAAACAGCTCTTTTATGTGCTCCAGGTTCCCCTAGTGGAAAATCTGGATAATAAATCTTAGCTAGTGCATAAGACACTGTCAACAGTAGCCAAGAATGCACAATGAAACCTAAATTTGATCCTAAACACAATGCACAGCATGCATCATAAATGTGACGCACTATAAAGATGTGTTCATTCAAATTCTACTTGTATTTTTGGCCTTCTGTTTTAAATAGCTGTTTAATACCAAACAGTAAAAAAGTTCAAGGGCCGCCTTAGCCACAGAGAAACCAGTAAACTTTCTTTTGAGGATTTAATTAGGAGTCACTACCAGCTCTGAAAGTCAGAGCACCTTTCAGTCTCCTCCAGTAATGAGACCAAAGAAGAAAACATCTAGTGGCTTGCTTCCATCTCTTTTCCATCCACAGACACTGTAAACATGTCTTGTAAGTATTTGCAAAGGCTTACATAACATTTCAGTCAGGTAGATACACCTGGCATTTGGATTTCTGGCTAATTAAATATACAGTCTCTGTTGGACATCTGGATACTCTGTAATACAAGGACTTTAATATTAACTGTCCTGGAAATAGTAGAAGAATGAAACTAACTTCTCAGTCACCTATTAATGGTCCTGTCTAAGAGAAACCAACGGCTGGATTCCTAGAAAAATATTAGAAATTAACTTTATAAACAAGATGCAAAGGAAAGATACTTCTCTTTGTATTAGAAAGCTGTTTACTTATAATTTAAACTAATCTGAATAACGAAAAATGTAACAAAGACCAAGTTAGTTATTTAGTTAATTATAAAAGGCTCTGGTAGCATTTCCTTCACTTAAGTTTAGTGTCACATTTTTCATTTAGAGGCTTTTTGTTCAGTTGCTTTCAACTTTGCCAAACTGTAACAAGCTGGGCAGAAATTTTTATACCAATCAGTCCAAGCATTCCTTTTTCATAAAATAAGTTTTACTTAAAACAGCATGAGATTATGAGGAAAAAAGTATTTTTCTGTTAAAAAGAAATTACTTTGATAGAGTGGGGACATTGTAGTTAAAATAAATCAATGATAAAATATAGTCAACTAGTAAGAGCTAAGTAAACTTAATTCTCATTTCCTAATCCTAACTTCACAGCATTTGATTGCAACTTTAGCATGCTTTTAAAGTATATTTGTGTAATCAGAAATGCAATTTGACAGTATTTGTACAAGACATACAAAATTCTATTTAATTTTTTAAATTATGAATTATTAAATATGCTACAAGGCAATGTTATTATCTGTAAAATATTATTATCATTCTCATATTTTCACACTCTTACTGACAACAGTAAATGCAAAGCACAAAATAGATATTGCTTAGTTACAAAGACTTATACTGGATGATTCAAAAGGAAATAAGTATTATGTGTTCAAAGAGCCATTGGGGAAGCTGAATGTTGTGATTTTTCTCCTCTAGCAATGCAAACACATATGAGTGTGTGACCACGTGTACTTTTATCCACATGCAACAGACTCTTCAGGGATTTCTGAAGTATTGCGACCGAAAGGAGGGAGGAAAACCAGTATTACAATAGCACTTGTCATAAAAAGTGTGGAGCCTGTGGCCTAGATTCATCTGGCCTAAATTCTTCTTAAATCCTTGTGCACAATGCTTGGTCTTGGCTAGCTGCCTCTGAGAGCTACAACTACACAACAGCAAATGCTAGTCACCATGGCTTTAGGAGGAATTCTGACTGGATGAAAAGTGACTGTAGTGGAAGGAAAACTTGGGAAAAGGTTGCAGAGAAAAGAAGAGTAGGGTTTAGATATACTAGACCTAAAGGGAACATGAAGAGCACACTCGCATATCTGAACTGTATTTGGTTTTGGTTTAAAACAGTTATCTAAAAAGAGCCCCCAAATTACTTCATTGCTCCAGGAACTACAAACCTTTTCTCATGTACATGACAAAATGCAATAGTTATAAAATGCTATTTCTTTTAACATCAGCCAAGTATTACCAAGATCTACAAGATTACATCAGCTATTTTCATACCTATCCACCACACTGCATCACACTTTGTTATGATGAACCTTGTCAGAGGACTTTTGAGAAATATGAGCTTAAGGGCAGCACTGTTGAAATCACTGCAAGAAGTTATTTCACAAAGAACCCTTTGGGGCCTATAACTCTACTGAGTCTTAACTTTTCAAAAGCTAAAGGAAAAGAATGAGGCTTTTCAACACCACAGAGGGCAGCAGCAGAAATGGTATGTTGGGAAAATAAGGAAAAACCCACTGCAAAAACCTGCCTTTGAGTACCTCAGAGAGAAGCTGGATGCAAGATGCAGGGAGAGGTGGCACACAATAGAGCACGGAAAGAAATGGATGTACACAGAAAATGTTCAGGGAGGGTAGAGACAGAAAGACAGTGGCACCATAAAGACACAGGATGGGGTCAGGAGGGAAAAAGTATATATTGATCAGATCATTTGGGAGGTGAAAAGAAGGACAAAGTTGTCATTTTCAGTTGAAGATTTCCATTAAATTATCAAAAAATGAGCACAGGCTGATCCTTAATTGTGGAAAACATAGCTTTTTTGAGAAAAAATACTGAACTAATCTGTCTTTTTTCCTCCTACCTCAAATAAAATAATGTTATGGTTGAAGATGAAAATGTTACAGTCTCAGGTTTCCAAAAAAAATGAACAGTCTGAGGAAAACAGGCACTGTCAGTATAAGAATGCTAACATCACCATCACATATAATAGTATAGTTGAAATGCCTTTTCATATAAAGTTTTTACAAAAAACATTTGAGCCATTTTGTGTATTAGAAAAGCACACCATAAGGACAGAATTATAAGGTAGCAGGGGGTTAAAATGAAAGGCAACATGGTCTCTGGGGCGTTAAGGCTGAGAGGCTGATTAGTTACAGGAAGAAAACCCTCTGTTCACCTCTTGTCCCACTGCACCATGCCTACCCCACCGCCCCTGGGAAATTCATACAAATATAAATTAATTACCTTTGATTTCTAAAGGCCCATCAATGTGTAACTCTGCTTTATCTTCACTCCTGCTGTTGTTTAAAGATGCTTGAATAACAGCAGTTCTTTTGTAGATGCCTCTCTTCACCTCATCAAAGACTGAAAACATATTGTAGACACGGGCGGTGTAGCCTGCTAGCTCAGTGACCTGAGAAACAACAAACACCTCATTTCAGTTATACTTCACAAATTCTACAAATTAAATGTTTGGCCAAAGATCAACATTAGCAACAATGTAGGTCAACAACCATTCATTTTCATTCCTTGAAATTCTATGCTAACCCATATGCCACCTGTCGCTCCTACCAATCAGCAGAAAGGACAGTTTGAGTTAAGCCCATGTAAACTATGATAACCCCAATAAATGAAGAGGTTGTAGAGACTGCTCATTTCTGTAGGCTTCAATGAACAGAGAGCAGCTACTAACATATCTGAAAACAAAGAGGCTGGTACACAAGGAAAAAAAAATCTTTGCATTTTCCAGCAAAAATAGAAGTCCATAGAAGTGAGAAAAAAAATGGCATCTATAATTACTTATGTTTGCTTGTTTTATTCCAGAAACCTCATGTGGGTGAAGTGTGCTTTTCTGTGTAAAAGAGGCAGCACCAAGGCATCCTAACCTAAAATACAGTACAAACCAGAAGTGAGTCTTCTATCAACTCCATGCTAAATCTGACACCTTAGAATAGAACCGGGTATTTTTAAGATGGTGAAGTCTCTTAAAAGGCTTTCTCCATTTTTTTTGTTTTGGTCCATTTGTCACATTTTTCACCTGGTGAAGACAGAAACAACAGATCTCTGGACCTGGTAACTTCATATTCTTGGGCTATTTAAGAGCTTCCAAAGAACTGCCTTCATCTAATGGTATTAAGGAATTAAGCCAAGGCCTTTCATTTTAAATGTATTATTAGATGGTTTTAAAAGGATACATCTTTATACAAAACGCAGAGAGGATAAGAATAACAAAATTAGATCAAGATTATAAAATCCTTGGTTTGCTGTGGTTAAATATGGTTAATAATAAACCCCATGACTGAGTTCACCCATTATGGTGTACACAGTTCCAAGATAATTGGAAATAACTGGAAATAATTCCATAATTTTTCTGTAAATTTGCCTATTTGTGCCAGCCTCTGAAGTGACTGCTAGTTCTGGCCACATGGCAATCATTTCACTGGAGGATGTTGGAGAGAATCCTGCATGTGATAAATGAAACTGTGCCAGCTGCACCCCAGGAGAACCACTGTGTAGTTAGATTCTATATCATGACTGTAGAAAATAATATGTTCAAACACTAAATGCTACCACCTAAACTACTGACTGCAAAGAAAAGTTGAGCCCACCTCATCTGCACAGTGAATTTCACTGAATTTAAGGAGGCTGCCTTGGTGGAGGAGGTGGGCAAGAAATGGAACTGCACTACCACTTGATGTGGGTTGAAGTACACTATCCTTTGGAAACTGCCTGAATCACAAAATGGGAATGACAATGTGGTTGCAGTGTCTCTCAAAGAGAAGTGTAAATGCAAAATTAAGATGGAAATTCACAGAACTGCTCTTTGGTTTTATGTTGTCTGGATTAATATCTTACCATGTTGTAGACAAAGTGAGTTAGTTCAGTTCTTCCTGTACTGTTTTGTGGGTACTTTTTTTGCCAAAAAATAAAACCACTATTTTTTTAAGTCCTCATGTACATTATGTAAATTACTTAAATGCTGAAAACAGAATAGATTATTACATCAGTGTATAACAGGTTATCTGGCAGTATCTTGGAGCAGAGATCAAGCAGGGGAACAGCTAAAAGAGTGTAGGTCAAAAATTATAGCCCATTAGAAGGACTTCTGAAAACAGCACAGACTCTGGTTTTGTCGAAGTCTGTGTCTGAAGGTGCCAAACTACCAAGCTGTAGCTTTTATGGCTGGATTTCAAATAACAGAATCCATAGTCTTTGATTATCTGCCTAGCTAATGCACCCCTCCTCACACTGTACTGGGAAAAAGGGTTCCCACCAAAGGGATGAGCAAACACCAATAAAAATATGAAGAACAAACATTCAGAAGGAAATGTTGAGATTAACAGCACTGCCTCACATTTCTTTGGCTTAACAGCTGGCATTTAAAGAAATCCACAAGAGAGACAACAGATCAAAGCCCAGTTCTACTGGAATTTGGGTATGGACCTGAAACTACATCTCTGATCCTCTAGATGAACATTCTGTACTTCTAGAGTACTTGTACTCCCAAGGTGAACTTTTTCCTGCTAAAATTTCTCAATTTTGAAAAATTATTTACAATTTAACAGGTTGACAAGATACTGCAAACAGCCTCACAGTTTATGTGACCCAGAAATAAGTATTCAATTCTCCTTGTTCTTCATATAGAAACAGGTTGCCTAATGAGATGGAGATAACCCCATCTCTGGAAACATTCAAGGTCAGGTTGGATGGGACTCCGAGCAAACCAACAGTAGTTGAAGATGTCCCTGCTCATGATGGGGTTGGACTAAAAGACCTTTAAAGAACTACAATTGAACTATTATATGCTTTCATGACACTTCCAACAGAAGAGTCCCAGTATACTCAAGGCAGACAGCCCAAATTCAGGTCTGTGCTTCAAACAGAAGAGGAATTTGAACCTTTATCACTGACATTCCAGGAACTTCTATCGCCCTCTGATGACACCTGAACACAAGTATTAAAAATGACATCTACACTTTGCAATATACAGGCAACTATGCACTTCAGACTCTTTGTCAACTTAACCCTAAAGATCAAACTACCAGTTCAAAGATCTCCATGGATTTAGTTGTGATAGAATTTGCCTTTAAAAACTGCACTACTTTTTTAATATTTTATATTAAATATAAATAGTTTTTCATTTTTTCCTCTTCTGTTTCATGCATGCAGGATGTACAGTACCTCTTTGTATGAAGACATAATTCTTTCAATAGCATCTGCTCCAGAGATCAGCAAGTTTCGTGATGTAGTAAAAGCTTCTGTTCTTTCACTAACCATTGCCTGTTTCTGGCCATCTTCCAACTCTGAATGTAAAAAAAAAAAAAGTAAAAAATATATTGTTAAAATATTCTGCAGAAAATTATCTCTACAAACTAAATTATTATTGCAATGTGAGCTATTATAGAGCAGGTTTGTTTTTTGGTTTTTTTTAAGAAGAATTTAACTCTATGAAGACAACCTTTCAGAAAGAACTGGTGAATATAACTTGGTCAAAAAGAGTAAGTGGGAGCATATGGAATTCACCTTGTTGCAAAACATCGTATTATTTTAGCTATTTATCTACATGGATTGTTTTCTTTTTAATATATCATCAAAAAACATAATTGTTTCAAAGTATGAATAAAGTGAAACCCAAGAGATTATCTGAAACAGATTTTTAACATAATTTTTAATATTTTTGCAATTATTAATTTTCAGCCTTACTTATTTACTGACTTTATGTAGAAGGAACCATTCACATTTGTGTAAATCTGATACATATATATAAATTATATTTCTGTAAGAAAGCAATAAACTCTTTGGTATCAAAGGCATGGTTTCAGTAGGATAACTCTTCCCTCACAATTAAGTTTCTTTCTTCATCTGACCTCAGAACGAAGTTGTGAGGCTTTATTTATGACACTGGATCCTGTTAACAAGAATACTCTTGCTCCAAAGAAAGGACTTGTCTCATAAGAATGTCAGCAGCATTAGGCAAGGAGAAAACAGCAGCACAATTTATAGAAGATACATGAGAAGCAAGTGTATTTTACGTATCTACATATACCACCTTGCTACCATGGGTCCCATAGATTGGACTTACAAGGTTTGTTTCCTGAAAGAAACAAGATTTAAAAAGAAGTGGCTGACTATTTTGAGGCTAAATGTTGTTTCAGTGTTTATAATTGCAACTACAAATCACTGGTGTAGTAAACCAGTGGTGCATTAAACCGCTCTTAAAGATTTTCCACATGAAAGATTTACAATGAAAGATCTAAAGGGTTTTCTGCATCACATAACTTTATATGTATCTCCATATATTGCTTAAATCTTCTGCAGAATGGGATCTGAATATTACTTTATTCACTAAAGTTTGTTAAGTTTTTTCTAAGTTTCTTTTTTAAATTAAGCTGATGCTAGGAATCATGCTAGGCAGGGTAATAGGTGGGTCCACTGTGGCAACTCCTGTACTAGCAATTGCTACTAATATCCGTATTTTCACAGTGCTCATGATCAAGAAAATCTAGGAGGAATTACTTGCAGGTGTAATGCAACCATAAATTTCATGGGCTAAGTCAAGCAATGCAAGAGTAGAGCAAATAGCATTTTCTTACTCTCACCTCCCTGACAGATCATATTCTAGAAATCTGGTGTCTGAAAATCTACAGGCAGTACCAAAGCCAGATGTATCTTTCCGTGTTTATTAGTTAAACATAAATGTTATTTTGTTTTCATTCACGCGTCCATAAAGGTATTCCTGCTAATAAGATCAATGAAAATACAGTGTATTTCAGTGAAATATACTAGAATAATTATCTAATTATATATGTATTTATAAATAAATAAAATATTAATTTATTGATGTTATTGTTATTATTATTGTTATTATTATTTATTATTATTACAGAGAAATAAACTGCAATAGTTATTAAAATAATTATTACACTGAATTATTACACTGAAATACAGTGAAATAATTAATGAAAAACTTTTAAAAATTGCTACGTCATAACTTTTCATATGTGTGTGTGTGTGTGTGTGTGTGTGTGTGTGTGTATGTATGTATATATATACATACACACAGAAAACCTATGTTATTTTTCCTGGTTTTAATTACGATTTTTTTTTCACTTCAGTTCTACATCAACACACTGTCAACCACTTGTATGCAATCTTGCTGAGACACAATGAGAGACATGCTTTTAAAAAAAACAAACAGAAAAGCTCTTACAAAAAGCTCTTGCAAAGGAAAGATTATAAAATTCTAACTGATGTGGTTCTCACCTAAAAAAGTTATTTCCACTCCAAGAAGAATGCATTTCATGAACAGGGAGAATTCAGTTAATTCATTAGTAAAAGGGGAATTGAAATTTGTTTATTTCTGAAAAAAGCAATTTTTGCTGATCTTGTTGGGCTTATAGGACATGCAGCCTATGCTATGTAGAACTACCACAATTAAATCATGTAGGAGTCAGATATGGCTTAACTACATTGATGTAGCATTCCTCCTTAATGTAAATGCAGTATTTACTGATGGCTGCTTCCAGCACCCAGGCCAGCTCATCTAGCAGGAGTTTAAGGATCCCCCACAAGCCACCGCATCAGTCAGTTTAGGGGTATTTAAAAAATAGAAATTATATAGAATTTATGAGCATTTCACAGCCCCAAAAAACAAGCTCTTCTATTATATAACCCACCAATATAATTTTTCTTGAACTTTTTGTCCAAAACATTGTTCATATGGCTGGTCTCCTGTGTTTAAAAGTATTGCATTTTGACACTGTCTCTGTTTCATACAGAAACTAACATTTCCATTTGCATCTTCATTCATTTAATTGACAGTCACACTTATTTTAATAACAAAAATAAATTTTCACTGTGTCTAGAGAAAGCAAAATCTTGCTTCAAAAAATAGTTACTCTCCATAAATTGAGACACAACATTTGGAATGTAAATGGTTTAAAAAAGAATGAGAAATGTTATCAAACAGGAATCTTGTCTTTGCCACCTAAGTTCTTCATTGAAATATATAACAACATTTTACAATTTCAGTCAGAAATATCACTGTCAAAGAAGTTTCTTTTTTTTTATTAATGAAGAATTATTGTTTTTCTTTCTCCTCCCTGAAGGAGTGTACAAAATCTATGGCTTTACACCTGTAGTGTCAACTCTGACCATGGTACCAGGTTTGTACATATCCCTGACTCTTTTGATTCATCCTAAAGCTATAAATTGACTATCTCTTCCTCCAGATGTGAACAAACTTGTGTCTGATCCACTGAGGCAAAAAGCACTGTTTTCCCAAGCAGGTCACTGGTAATTTCAGGTGTGCTTGATTCTTTGAATACCTGTAATACCTCAAACTGGTCTTAACAATGCTGCCAGTATTATGTTTGTGAACCACCATTATGGTAAGTCCCAGGACTCAATAATAAATCACATGTTTTAATAGTTTAGGTTGCTAGTAGCAAATATGATTCTGTTTTACGTGAGCCATTTGCTGCATCTTTGTTTTCTCTCACATTTAAAATGTATTTAACAAAAGAACAAACATGAGTAACAGGAATGTTATTTAGTTTAGCATGAATATGAGTCCTTTTTTATTCATGCTCTAATACCAAGGAGATATTTACAACATGTGGTTAAATGCTCCTTTTCTTGATTGTACCCATTCCATCTTTGCAGAAAGACTCTTATCACTTTTTCTGTTGTGCTGATAACCTTCACCGTGAAGTGAAATGCCTTTGTACAGCCTCTTCAGTTTGGAACAAGACATCCTGATATTTTTGAAGCTGTTCCCAGGATGCCAGCCACGTAGTGCTCTCCTAAGCCACGTGATGGGCAGCAGCTCAGAGAGCTGAGCACCCAGCCATGCTCCAGCACAACATTTAGTGAGGCAGCTAAACCTTGTGCCAACCAAACTTGGGCACTGCATGAAGCCATCCTACAGCTCACACCAAGCTTGTCCACTTGGACAGTCTTGATTTGGAACATAACTTCCAAGAAAGAAACAGAACTACTGCACAAAAAAGAATTCACTCATTCCTAATTCAAAGTACACAATTTAGAACATCATGACCCTTCTGAAGACTTTGTAGGGTTCATGTTATAGGAATTTTTTATATTTTTAATAGCATCTGCACTAACACCACTATTTGAGTTTCATTTCACTTCCAGGAAAGTTGTGATAGGATGTCAAAAATTATTCCATCCTAGCCTGGAATCTGAATTTTATCTTCTCCCAGGGAGTCAGGGAAAATCAGCGGTTTCCAACAGGTCAACAGTAAGAGAAAAATTATCTATAATTACCTATAATTACACTATGGTTTATGTAAGAAGAAGATAAGCACTCTAAGAAAGTTCATAGTATCATTTCGCAAAAGTAGATACTGTAAAAATCAGCCTGCCATTCCAACAGTGACTAGTGAAAAAGGAGACTGCAATAATAATCTCATGTGATACAAGGATCCTCAAAGTCCTGACTTCATACTATGTATCACACTCCAAGTTGGATCATTTGCTTAGCTGACTTGCTATGCTTGCAAGTTATACATAAAACACAGATGTTGTAAGAAAGTCTGCGATAAACAAACCAATGTGAACAGCACTCAAGGGAACTACAGTCTTTTGAGGACATAACTTTAAAGAAACATTTAGAAATTAGGTAAAAGATGGTATTACCGCCATCTGCAAATCCTGTAGCAGTGATGATGGGCACAGCAACCATGATCATACCACAGCTACTCCATACATACTTCATCAGGAACTGCTCTATCATGATGTACCATAAACGTTTGGACAAAATGAGATTCATTTGATCTGTCAAATCCTTGTAGCTTTTTTGCAGTTGTTTCAATTCTACCTAGGGTTAAAATAATAAAATAATTTATACACTTAAACAAAGATGCACATGTAGTACAAGATACATTCACATATGTACATTAAAAATCAGGAAGCTAGAGCTATCACTTCTCAATCCCACAGTACTTTATGCTCACTGTGCTGCAGTCTCAGCAAAAGTGCACAACTCTATGGAAGTCAGTGGATCTGGATCTTATTTACACCATTGTCCCTCAACAGAACATTGGCAGGTTTTCAACCCTTTTAAGATTTCTAATATATACAAGAACAACACAGCAGTCACAACAGTTGATTCTAACAATCAAAATAAGATTGATTTCACCTTTTAATAAAGCTACAGCTGTAGAGTTTCACAGCAACTGAAAATTATATTGGAAAGCATTTGAGGGTCAATTATCTTTAGCGACTTAAAGTTGCAGAGTTGATTCCTGAAATGCTGCTTGTTTTTGCAAGCAGCCTGGGGAAAAAGAGAATTATCCAGTAGTTTTAAAAAGTCAAAGACAGTTGCAAGTCAATACAGTATGTATTCAGTTCAAGCCCATATATGTGGGAATTGAGAAAATGCTTAATTTAGCTGTGCTTAGAACAGGCAGCTTTTGAGAACGATTGTGTCTACAAAAATAAACCATTTATGTTATATAATCGTTGCTTGAACTGAAAGAGTAACTCTTCTTCAAGCTGGTTTCCAGCTTTCATTTTTACCTTGCAAGAAACAACATATTTTCCCAATTGTGTTTGAAATGTATTACAGCCAAAATTCACTTCTAATAAAAATATGAAGAGTTCCTTAATAAGGTGGCTTTAAAACAAGCTACTAGTTTATGTAACTGTGATTGCAGAAGTACTGTACTTATGCTATTTTAAGACTGGTGACTACATCTTTGCTTGGATATGTGAAAGAGTGTCAAAGGTTGTAGTGTGCTCTGAGCCATCACCAAGTTTCCCCCTAGACTTTCTGGTGTGCCGTGGTTGCTATTTCTGCTGAATTAAATATGGTGGTTCGTACACATGATTGGAAAAAAAAAAAAAAAGTCTGGAAAAGTTAATCAGAACAGACTGGGTGGGGGAAAAGAGTAACATAGATTGTTTTCTAGATAAGCATAAGATCCATCTGCAAAACCAGAACACTGCCAGAGTTCAAAGGAACTGTGATCTGCTCCCCTCAGACGCTGCTTGTGAGACGGCATTTCCTAAGAAATGGGAAGTGCCAAGCTGTAAACAAGTTTAAATGTCAGAGGAACCCAAAGCGCACAAGAAGGGTGTCAGGGGAAGCATGGGTCCCCTCCGGCACTGCAGGAGCGACCCCAGTGCTTCCAATTTCTCCCCTCCTTACCTTGTGCCCTCGGTAAAAGGCAATCTCTTCCACGTTGGCAATGATACGTGAATGTATGAAGCGCAGATAGCCCTTCTTGTGAGCCTCCTCAGCCACTAGTTTGCCAAACTTGGGCGAGCAGGCTTTGAGCACTCGGGCCGTGGCATAGACGACGAGGCCAGCCAGGACTGTGGGCCCGATGGGGTTGGCCCCCCGGGACCGTGCTGTGCGGATAAGGGTGTAGGAGGTGAGCACAACATCCAGGATGGGCTTGGTGAGGTTGGAGTAGAGATGCGCCACGGACTGCGAGAACATCATGATGTCCTCGGTGAGGGACTGGTCAGGGTTGGCCAGCCGCCCGTCCATGCTGATCACTTTGTAGTAAGTTTGGTTGGCAAAGTAGGTCTCATAGGCGTGATCCACCAGGCGCGTGCGGAAGGCGAGGGCCAGCTTGCACTCCAGGTACCGTATGGTGCTGTTCACGAAAGTGGCTGGGATTGCAATCATCAGCCACTTGATTAACTTGAAGACAAAGCTTCTGGGCTTTTTCTCCACAATGCTCTTCACAATTTTTCCATCAAGGGCGGCCACATAGATGGAGAGGAAGGTCCTGGACACCAGAGCAAACGAGTGGAGACAGAGCAAGCCCAGCTCGGCACTCACCAGCTTCGGGAAGAACAGTTTGCGGAGTTCCAGCAGCTGCTTGAAGAATTCAGCGTCCACGGCCGGGGAGGCTCTGCCCCGGCTGTCGGTGCGGTGCGGGACCGCCCGGCCCCTCTCATCCTGCGCGCCGCCTCTGCCGCCCGCCCGCTTCACACGCCCGCGGATGATGGGGTAGAGGATTTTGAGCCCGTACGCCGCGGCCAGCAGGCACGCAGCCCTCTTCGCGGCGCCCGCCCTGCTCCACTGCACCCGCCGGGCCGCCGCATGCAGCATGTGGGCCATCCTGCCCGCCGGGGCACCGCTACGCGCCGCTCCTAGCGCGGGTGGCTCATGCCCGCTGGGAAGGCCGATCCCGCCGGGTCTTCATCGGAGCGCTGGGCCCGGCCCGCAGCCGGTCGCCCTGCCTTGACAGATGCCGAGTGAGCGCTGCCTCCCAGGGGTGATGGTGCCTTCAAAGCGCGGCGCGTTGCACAACGCAGCCCCGCGCGGCGCAGCCCGCCCCGCCGACCACCATTGGCTGCGCCGCGCGGGGCGGCACCGGCACCGGCAGCGGCCCGGCCGCCCGGCACCGCGCCCCGGCCACGACCGCTATATCTCGGGGCGCGGCCGCAGCGGCGGCAGAAGCAGGACCGGTCTCCCGGTGCTCGGCTCCGGGTTCACGGTCGGTCCTCTGGCGCTCGGCTCCTGCCGCACCGTTGATCCCCCGGCGCTCGGCGGGTCCGCGGAGCTCGGCCCTGCAGCGCGCCGGCTCCCCCCAGGCTGCGGCCGGCCCTTTCCTTCCGCCTGCCCTGCGGAGCAGGCTCCGCCTCCGGCCCTGGCCTCGCCAGCGGCGCGGGGGGAGCGGGACGGGGGGCGGTAGTGCCGGAGAGAGCTCGACTCCCGGGAAGCCCTGGCAGGATGGGCAGCGCGTCACCCCCGGCACTCCCCGAGCCTCCCCAGGGCGGGGGGTACTGTCCGGTGTGGAGCGACGCGGCGGAGGGCCGCGCAGCCGGACCGGTCGCCTCCGGTAGCCCCGGGTCGGAAATCGGCCGGGAGGCCGTGGGAGGGAGCCGGGCAGTTCGGCGTCTCCGGGGCAGCGCCTGCACACTGCACGTAATTTATTTCCTGTCCTCCCCCCGAAAGGAAACCGGTATTGTGCACTGGCAGCGTTATTAGCCCAAAATAACCCCGACCGAGTCGCACGGCCCCTGCAGTGAAACCCGGCCAATTTCTCACAAAGGAGTCTACAGTAAAGGCAGTTGTCTTCCTGCTTTATCTCTCTGTTTTCTTAATTGCTTGTTTCTACTGCTTAACTTGTTTGGAAAAGGTACTGGAATTGCAGGGGGAGGATCAGAGTACCTACATACTCTGGTCCTTTTACACTTTGAAAATGCAGTGTCTAAGGTAACTGCGTAAGATAGTATATGATAAAAGCATTAGTTAAGAATGTGTGTGTATGTATGCTTTTAAAATGTGATACTAGACGTTTATGCAGTGGTGAGGAGCCTGGTTTTTCCCTAAAAATGAAGAGTGAGGCCACCTGCCTCACAGAAATTCAGTAAATACTGTGTTACACAAGCCACATTACTGTTATGATACGACCCCCCATTGAACAGAGTGCAGTGATCGTGTGTAGATAGCAACACAAGTTTCAGGATGAAGGAATGGTATAATTTATTTGAGAGCAAGTGAGGTTTGCTTTTAAAAATCAGACACCACTTCTTGAAACATCCCTTTGCCTTCTAAAACGTCCAGTAAGCCAAGACCAGCAGGACAAGAAGGAAGCAAGATCTCATTTCTTCCTAGGAGGTTACAAAAATTTGGCTCACAGTGGTCTGAACAGTTAGGTAGAGAGGATATGGGGTAATCTTTAAGTGCATTATATTTTTGCCAGTGAGCACAGGCAAGAGATCTGGACAGAGGCTCTTCTAGTTTTTTTTTTTTTCCCTAAATGCACAACTCAAAAGCTAGGAAAGCTAGGAAAATGTCAAAATCTGACCTAGTGCAGTGCAGAAGACATTCAGTTAGTAGGTAAGCCTGATTTCACTGCAGATTATTTTTGTCAGTAGAATAGGTTTTTCCATGCACAAAGATACAGACAAAAAGTTATTTTGTCAGAATAGGATTTTCAGTGCACAAAGTAGCTAGGAATTGCTTTGCTTGCGGCTTGTGAAATTATGGCTGGTAATCATGCTCTCCACTGGATACTTCCCTTACTGGCTTGTGTAGCACAGCATACTCTTAGATTTTGCCAAACCACAGCTATTTGCAGTATTTCATTACTCTAGCATTTTCTTACCAGGGGGAAAGTTCACAGATCTCTTTTGGTTCTGTGTATTTGCTGACCTTTCACTTCACAGAATCCTGGATGACTGAAACTTCTGGTGATTTGGTGGTCAGTGCAGACATACACCCCACAGTCAGATCTGTGGGAACATTTAAGTGAAGCAAATCTAACTGCACAGTGTTTCAGTCAATAAAAGGAATGTATTTCCTTCTTTTGAAAGGATGAAGAAAAGACTAAACTGTTGTTTTAAATACCCCCTTTCTTCTGTTCTTGCTGTCTCAAGAGTTTTGCTCTGCCACAATCCTGCTCAGTAATCCATGCACAAACTCCTCTTTGTGGAGCAGGGCCTTAGGTGTTAGATTTTTATTTTTTTTTTTCCCTCCTGAAGGCAGGATTTTTACTACATTTAGTCGTAATAACACTTCTCAATATTACTGGAAAAATAACTCCCAAAACTGCAGTAATATTGGTGCAGTGCTCTGCTGTCTCCACATTTTCTACTGACTTTATAATAAAGTTCTGGAGATATGTGTAATCAAATAAGTTCGAGTAACTGAAGCTGTGGAATGGGCAAGTGTCTGGGGGATATTGATACTAGATCCAGACTATTTGGAGATCTTTCTTCAGGAGAATCTCATTTTTTAGTGTCAAGTGTGTCAAGTGATTGGTTTTTAGTCATACCGTTAGTTTTTATCAAATGCATTGAAGTAACTTGTGTGCATTTTTTAAATACAGGAACCAATAACTGGGGAGGAAGAATATATGGCAGCAATGAGTATCAGGGTGACTAAAGTCCATGAATGTTTGTCTGTGCAGGAACTAGAGTGTAATCATTCCAACTGATGCCTTTTTTATCTTCTGTTTTGTCGCCCACACCAGCACTTCATCCTTGCACAGTTTCGTGGTTATGATGAAGGTAGTGGAATTGGAACATGCAGGCTATTACACAAGAGATGTCAGTCAGGCTTACTCAGTGATCATTTTTTCTACCATTTGATTTAGTGTTTGAAAAAATAATGTGCAATTTTTTAAGCAAAAGACTATTTATCTGATGTCTTATTTGGTTCTAATAGATGGTCCAATAGCTGTAACATCAGTCTGCAGTAAACTGAAATTTTCTTGCTGCTTATGGAATTATCCACTGTGCCATAAGGACATACAAAATAAAAAATAAAATTAGTGAAAAATATATATAAATTCTGTGTTTTGAATAATTTCTGTTTAGGACTGTTAAGATTTAGATGCGTGTAGGTCATGCAAACAGTACACAGTGGTTTTCAATGTGGATGGATGTATGTGAAACACGTAACATGAATCTACACCATGCTTGTTTTCAATTACTAATAGTGAACTGTAAATAATGTCCAAAATATGATGTGCTGTAATACAGTAAGATGGGAACATCTGGTTTTTTCTTTAATTTTGAGCTGTGGATTTGCATAGTGGTGTGGTGTGGGAGTATTAGGGTTTCATTTGAGTCAGATTCAACAGAATATGAACATAGGAGCCATTATTCAAGTAAATACCTTTCTCTGAAGTACTTCCAAACTTTCTATTTACTTTAGTGTCATCACTTACATAAGTACTGAAATACACCCACAGAATTAATTTGCAACATCAAGGCACACCAATGGTAAATCTGATGTTTTTATCAGAAAAGGGTGATAAGATACCCTGACCTTTGATTTCAAATTTGTGTCAGCAGAAATTATCTGTTTATTTAGTCTATTTAGGGAAACTATTGGCTATATTCATATACCTCAGTAGAATATTCAGATGCTGTAATTCCTTTAGGACCTAGAGATCAAAGACAATCAGGAATTTCAGTTTTAATGGCATGGATATGAAAGCTTGCTGAAGAAGTGTCAGTGTGGTGAGACTGGCCTGATCCTACCAAGCAGCTGATTCCAACTCTTTTGGTTCTGGTGAAACTGTAGGGGTACCTACAGTCTCTAGGTCTATAGACTAGGCAGAGCTATGTTACCACAAGAGAGAAGAAACAGGAAGATCCTATTCTATTGCTTTGCTCTCCTAAGTGTAAGCATCACAGAGATGGTGTAAATGGGGTGCATTCCTGCACCGGAAGTCTTTTCTCCTTTACTTCATCTTTAGGGAGATACATGCTGCTGTAAATTTGAAGCCTGCATGACTTGTAGTTTCTAATAATTTAACCAAAAGGGATTTGAGAAATCTCTATGACAGGACAGTCAACAGCAGACTGATCACTAACAGTTCTGACTTCTGAGAATAGTGATATTCTAGAAAGAATACCTCTAGAAAGAAATATAAACAAGTTGTTTTCCCTTTACAAAGGGAGAGGGAGAGGGAAATAGGCAAGTGTTGAGTTCAATGTCAGCTGCTCCAGGCACGGTAAACTGTCGAACGATGTTCTCAGACAAAGAATTTAACTTCTAATATTTAGGCTTTAATACCTAAACCTTTAAGATCAGATTTCTCTTTCTTGTTAAACTTATTCCATGCAGATAATTCAGTTGAATGAGGATGTGTCTCTATTACGTCTTCAGAAGTCTCAAATACGTTATGTATGTATTTCAGGTTTTACTTTAAATCTGGAAAGGTTTCTATTCGCAGATCATCTGAAGAAAATTCTAATGCTACCTTATTAAACCTTTTCTCAAGTTCATTGTAAACTCTTTAAACAAGCTACGTGCACAGTTCAGGAGTACAGGTATAAGTGGTAAAATCACATAGCTGGTGTCAGTTAACAATGGTGATAATGGCACTGCCCACAGCAGAGTCAGTGTTCTACTTTTTAAAATGAAGGCAGGAATAAATCCAGAAAAGCCATCTCTTTTACTCCTGCACCTCAAACACAGGATTTGCTGCCATTCTTTTGTCATGCCTCAAGAATCTGAGGGTTTACAGTTGATGAGTATAACAACAAAAAGGTCATCTACTGCTGTTCAGCTATTAACTCTTATTTGTGAGACTTCTAAATATTAAAAATTAGCGAACAGGCCAGTGCTTCATCAAGCACAGTATTCTGTCTCAAACAACAGCTCTAAGCAGATACCCAAGAGAGAAGAAAATTGCAATTTAATGTGATGCTGCTGTTTCATACTTTCCCAACCTCTTGCCATTTTAAACTGAGAATTTTGTGAGCCTGGGAGGTTTGCCTATTAAACATTCCTTACAATTACTCTTACAATTACTTGTTCAGTCTCTCTTGGAATCCTGTAAACTTACGTAAATAGAAACATCTGACAAACCATTCCTCAGATATACCATTTCATATGTGAAGAAACACTCCTTCTGTTTCTCCCGCAAGCTCCACTTTATGTCCACTTATGCCTGTTCTGGAAGAGGCTTCAACAGCACAGCTCACTCTTGTCCACTCTCTTCCCCTTTCCTCTCACCCCACAACTTTCCCATACCACTCAGGAGTTTGTCAGCCTCTATTCCATATCAGTCCCCTGTGCCCGAGTGCATGAAAACAAGAACTAGTCTCTTCCCTCCCTTTTGCTTTTTATTCAATGGCAGGACCTTCCCTATTATTTTACAACGTCTTTATCTTCTTAAAACCTTCAATAACAGATATTGTCAACAGCCTTAATTAAATCCAGCAAGACAGCAGCAATCACTCTTTTCTACGTGTGTTCTGTAGCAACCTTCCATCTGTAGAAGCTCCACTGGCTTTTCACATGCTGGCCTATATTATTATTCCTGCTATTTTTTTTGTGCAGAAGTGAGCTTTCTGGATTGTCACAAAATTCTTATTTTTAAATTGTGTCACATTTGCTACCCTCTAGTCTCCAAGATGATTCCAAATTCAAGTGGTCCTTTCCACAGTGCTGCATTATAGAACTCTTCATTGAGTACCACTTAGTCCTGGTACTTTGCTAGTCTTAATTCTGCCTTGGTAAGATCATTTTCACTTTGTCTGTTGTTACTTTCACTTTGGACAGATCCTCAGTGAGTTCCCCAGGAAGGATTCCTGCATAAAGTTCTCCCCAGTTTCCTCATCAATGAATACTAATGCAAAAAGCCTACCTTTTCTTTTCTGTAACATGTGTCTCTTCTGAGTGCTCCTGTTGTTCCTTGGCCATCAATTGTCCCTTTAGACTTTCTAGCAAGCTTTTGCTCCTAGTTGATGTGGAGAAAAAATTTTTAGTAGTTTGGTTATTTTGCCTAATTGTTTCTCCTTTTTCTTCTGGCCTGTTGTATTTGTATTTTTCTCTGAGTTTGTGTTCCCCTCTGTTATCTTCTTTTTGCTGTGGTTCAGACTGTCTCTTTACTTCAAGTCTGGTATCCTTCAGCTTTTTCCTAACCCCTTGTAAGGATTTCATTCTCTTAGCTCCCTCTCCTGATTTGCTTTTGACACTTCCCTAACTGGAGTTCAGCCCATCTGCAGAGGATTCTTTGGTCTTTGTTAATCTTTATAGAAATACTGTTTTTATAAAGTGAGTTTTTCAGCGCGAGACTCTCTAACAGATCTCGTGCACTGTTCTCCATCAAGCCAAGGACAGCACTTTGTCTTTAGAGTTCATTCTGTAAAAAATTATTCCACCTAAATAATACCACCTAAGAACGGCATCTGCTTCATAAAGCAATGTGACAACCTACTGTTGTCAGTGGTACTGTTGTGGCTGATGGTTTGCCATGTGTATCCAATCCCATGTTCTTCCCAGCTAGGCATGGAATTTCGACCCAGGTAGATTAGGTGCTTCTCTCTAAGCTGGACAGTTTGCTGTGTTTGGAAACTATTTAGCCTCTCTACAATCTTCTATCTTTCTACCCTTTAAAGGTGAATAGGGGAAGGACTTTTCATCAAATTAATTGAAAGAGAGATCTGTCTTTCAAGAGGAACTATTTTTGAAAGGGGAAACTTTGTTTTTAAATCAAGCTTTGTCTTACGTTTTGAACTTCCTCAAACTCTGTCATGATTTTTGCAGTATAACAGCCATCTTTTTAAAAGTACTCTTAAGGGCAAAACCATCAAACAGGTTACTATAAAACACTACAAGGTCAGTGTTGCTTTATTTCTCCATAGGCTGATCTCTCAAGGAAGGGAATGGCATAGAGTATTGACTGGAAAAAAGACATGCAACTCTGTAAACAAAGTTTAAGCACTGCATTTACCAAAGAAAACTTCCACTTGGAACAGAGTCAGGCTTTTTTTAGTCATGCATTCCTAGCATTAGATAATTAGGTCAATATTTAGGGATGTGAATAAGTGTATCCTGCTATTTAAAAGTGCCAGAAATTCTCACCCTGGATAGAGATGGGAAAGCATTTTAGTTTTCCTGCATCTTTTATACAGTTTTCTACCGATGGATTTAGTTACCTAGTGCTAGATATAAAGATCAAACAAAAAAAAAGTTAAGGTATTTTAAATTAACATTAAAAAAATGAGTAATGTAAAATATTTAAATCTGAGATTCACCAGTATGAGTTTGTTTTGGGTTTTTTACTTAACATTCACCTCTTTAGTAATTCCTTCCTTTATAATGAGCACTAGAGTAGGACACTTGCTGGAAAGGGGAAGATTCATTAAGAAACATGAGAACTATTTGCAGTTAGTTCTAAGAAATTGCTTGGAAACACATCTCTCTGTTTCTCTCTGGTGAATATGTTTTTACATAAGCAGTGTCTGTTCACTCAAGGGAACATGTTTAGGGAAAGAAGCATCTTCAAACCTTCAGGGTACAATAATGTTGCAGATAGAGTTGGCCCACACAGAATTCACAATTTCATTGCCTAAATCAGCTGCTTCCTCTCTGGGTGTGTTGAGACATAGAGTAGGGGCCTAGCTTAAGTGTCCAAGTCACCCATCAGATCTCCCTCTCTCTGATTACATAGGTGTTCTGTAAGGACGTACTCAAAGCTCAGTGCCAAAAGTTGCACAGTCAACATTTCAACACCAGCCTCCCTGGAGAAGTGCTTTCTTAGACTGCTTTGGACTGCTTTGATATGTCTCTTATATCTAGATCTGATCTGATAATGAAGAAGCATGTCAGAGAGGAAAATTCAGGTGCTGAAGGTTGGTAAGCTGTTCTGAAGAAAATCCTGTATAATACTTTCTTAACAAAGGAACAGGAGGTATGGTTAATCTGAAGAGTATAAAAGTTAGAAAAAAGAGGAATCTGTAAACTTCAGTCTCTGACAAATAGAGGAAGCCTCTTTGTTCTATACTTCACTTCCCAGAGAATCAGCTAAGCTCCATGAAACTCATTCTCATGACCTTTTAAAAATTAATAATTATGTCATACAATTCTTTGAAATTATGCTATCAATTCAGAAATTCACATTAATTATTTCAAACTTTTAAAATGTTGACAGTCAAGGCAATATATGCAAACACTGGAAATATAATCATATTCATCTCAGGTCTTATTTAATTTTTTACTCTGCCCTCTTCAAAAAAGAACAGATTTTTTATTTTATGACTGCTTGAAAGGTCATTAACTTTATTTGCAAGAAATAGTTTGAGGAGGAGAAGATTTATTATGTTGAAAAATAATTAATTGAAGCTGCCATGTAACTTTTTCTGGATTCTACAAATATCTGCTAACTACCAGCTAAAATAATTCAAACATAAAGAAAATCCCACTTTTTTCCTTTGAATCTAGACAATATTGTGAAAAAGTAAGAGTAAGGATGATATAAAAAATATAATTTATTAAAAAAATTAAAAGGGATTTGATTAGTTATACATGAAACTACATCTTATGCGTTGTATTGGCAAGTTCAACATTTACACTAGATGGAATTGAAAATAAAGAATATTTGAAGTGATGAAATCAAATAAATTTTCAGTCTCTCATCTGTCATATTAGCTGTAGAGACACATAGACTTAAAATATAGATATAATTTATCATGAAGATTTTAATCAAGTATTGTTACAAGAAACAATTATGCATACTTACCAGATTCTATAAACACCCTAGCCAAATTAGAAGTATTACAAAGAAGAACATCTTGGCTAATTTTTAATTTTAGACTCCTAATATCTACTCTGAACACTCTTCCCATTGTTGTACCAATGCTAATCAAACTTTAGTACCCTGAAAAATGTTAGGCTAAAGATAACTGAGCAAAGAAACACCACAGGAAAAGATTCATATGGAATTTTGATGATTTTTTTGTAAATGAGTACCTTCCCTTGCTGAGATGATGGAAGTGAGTTACAGGGAAGGGCGCGAGTGGAGTTTGCTGCTGCCAAGATTCCCCAAGTGGCTCTGTGTCCCTCCTCAAGGGTTAGTCATGGTTAAACACAACAGCTCATCAGGCAGGACCAAGAGCAACAACATCTATCCATAGAAAATGCTCCTATTGCCCCTAAAATACCTTAGGAAGAGCAGGATGGAGAGGAAAACTCTCTCTTGTCCTAAAAAATAAAGTGGTTGTAGCAGAGACACGTTGGACCTGAAAGACAAATCAATTCACTTGGGACAAGACGCTCATGACTCCCTTGGGAAAGGGCGATGGCTTTGGCAGCAGCCTGCATGGAAACACCAGAGGCAGAAAGGCAGGAGCAACCAGAGCATTGCCTCTTCCCCATCAGCTGCCTCGCTTGGCTTTCTGCATCCTTCCAATTTGTCTGTCAATCCCTGTACCACCCTTTCGTTGTTCTCTGCCAGCCTGGGGGCTTGGAGAGCAGCTGCCCTGGTGTTCCCAGGGAGGTGGAGGCCCTGCAGAAGGGCCCTTGTGGCACTGCTGGGAGGCTGCAAACCATCCCTGAGTAGCCATTGCCTCTACCCACACGGCCAGCAGCACACGGGGCAGCTCTTCCTCCTCAGCAGCAGAAAATGAACTGGGTCGGTGGCAGTCGGTGAGTGAAACTCTACAAAGCCAACAGAAACAGCTCCATGTTGTGTCAGTGTCCCTCACAGACTGGGCACTGCCATGGTGTGTTTAACAATCCTTATGCCCCCTCACAAACCAGACACTGCCATGTTGTGTGTGGAGCCAGTGTCCCCTCACAAACCGAGCACAGCCATGGTGTGTATTTCAGGCCTCATTTCCCCTCACAAAGTGGGCATAGCCATGGTGTGTGTTTCAGGCCTCATTTCCCCTCACAAAGTGGGCATAGCCATGGTGTTTGAGACCAAATGAATGTCTCTCCACAGAACAGTAGTACCACAGGGTGTGTGTTTCAGGCATGGTGTCTCCTCACAGACCAGCAGTCCCTGGGGTGTGACAGCCCCAGAGTCCCCTCCTGAGCCAGAGTGTGAGAAAGTGCAGGTGCCCTCCCACCCCAGGCAAGGAGTCACATTTGGGCTCAGTGTCTCTCCAGACAGGGGCTGGATGAGGCCTTTCTCACACCCTCACAAAAAGCTGTGGTTAGCATTTGGAGAAAAGGATGTACAGGTATTGAGATTCACTGAAAAAGTAAAGCATCACAAACTGAGTTGAAATTATAAAGAAAGAAAAGATAATGGTCTGGTTTTGTGGGTGTTGTGCCCTCTGCCAATCTACCCCACAGATTTTGTCAGCCATTGGGAAGCAGCATTTTTGAGCACAGCTTTGTATAGAGTCATCCAGACTCTATGCAGAATCAAACTAAAAGAACACCCTACCCATCTGGAAGTCTTCCCAGCAAACTGGGAATTTGTCTGAGTGTTGTCTCTGGAAATCTTCCCAGCAAATTGGGAATTTGTCTGAGTGTTGTCTCTGTGAAGCAGGAGGAAGGGAAAGTTTCAGTTGGGAAAAACCCCAAAACACCAACCCAAACTTTGTTCTAAATGCCTGTCTGACATACTCTCTGTAAGAAAACCCAGTGTGTAGGAGGAGTATTGCACACATTTAGCAAATACAAACCAACCTGCTGCTTGCTATTGCTGGTAGTATCTGTCAGGGTTCCTCAGGTGAATCTGGGGTTTACATTTTAGGTGTCAGAAAAACTACACATCACTGGGGTTTCTCCCCACTGCAAGGGTGAATGTTATACCCATATGTTTGGAAAGTTTGCTCTAACTTTAAGCAAGAGGTAATTCCAAGGGAATAGTCAGTATTTCTAACCCTCACAAAAAGTTGTAATCTTACTGACCTAAGGACTGCAGCCATGCTCACTCTGCTCATGGAACAGTGAACCCAACTTCCAGTTTTATGCACCAACCTCTATAGGTATTTCACATAAGACTATGTTTGACAGGTGAGATAAGTAGTTGGAGGTATAACTGTCTCCTATATTGCACAAACAACAGCAACTTGTAGTGTCAATCTATTTTGCTTTCCTGTTTTACAAAATGTCCCCAGTATTCTGGAAAATACCAAAAGGTAAAAGCTCATTTAGTGTTCCTTTGGTTTGTATACTAATATAGCTTTGTAGCTATGTTGCAGCATGACAAAGAAAATTAGGAGAAAATAATATATTGACAAAGATTTCTTAAGTTTTAAGAAATTACAGATTGATGAAATGTGCATTAAAGTCAAACGACTAAAAACTTTTTCTGTTTCCTTTTTTCATGTTAAATGTGTTTGGTGACCTAATATCGAATGTGGTCCTATCCTTACTGGAGTAAACTAGGATCAGTCAGAATTACTTTAACAGAGATATGTTGACTTTACTACCTGAAGGTTTGACCTATTATAACATAACATGTAACATAGCATAACATTATAACATAAATATATTTGTGTCCTAAAACCTCTGAACCATTGATGAGAAATTTAAGCCATGACTCAAGATTATACTTTTTCAATTGAAATAATAATTATTTGCATTTTTCAGAAGCAGAATCATATTAAAGCAAGAAAGGAGAAAACAAAAGGTAAACAGTTTCAGCCCTATTGGATTTTATGTTGTTATATAAAAGCTTTAATGTGTTCACTTATGTAAAACTATGAAAGCTATTGGAGTGATATTCAAAACAGTAGATAAACAGTTACAGTGTTTTTCTCTGACTTTTAGGGGGAAAGTCTTGTTCTAGATTTACTAAACTGAATTACAGCAAGAAGAGGAAGGAGACAGAGAAGGTGTGAATGAATGAATGAATGAATGAATGAGTGCATGCCTGGGCCCAATTTTGGTTTTCCTGGATTACTTCTGTTACCAGGTTGTGTTGGTATGTGGGGACACAAGGGATTGCATGAAGCCTTAGGTGATAACCATGTGGTCATCTGGCCTAACACACACATACACAGCCATTCTTCTGGGCCATGTAAAGGATGTTAGGCTCATTAAAGTCCTTTTTCTAGTATTTGCAAAAGGAGGACAGCTTATTTGTGTTTTGAATCTGAAAGTGAAATAAGGGAATCAAACTTATCCCTGGCATAGTAGAAGACTTTTCAAACAGGAAAGTTAAATAAAACAGCTATTAAAAATGGCTATAACCATAATAATATAAAAAATAAATTGAGTCAGTTTCCTCCTCAGCAGCAGGAAAGAAAGAGACAGTATAGGGAAGCTCCACCACTGAAGCTGACACCACCAAAACCCAGAGCAAGATTTTTTTTGTCAATATGCATAGGCATATAGAGGAAAAACAGGCTGACTGTATAGAGACAGTTACTCATATTAAAACATTTACAAATATGAATATGGGACCAAGAAGCAACTTGTCCTCATCACTCTCCCAGTTTCCTGGAGACCTATGAGCTCTCTGTTTTCTCAAGGATTACTGGTCTAAGCCACATAATTTATATTATAACTGTGTAATTTGCTTCAGTGGAGAGGAAAAACAGGAAAAGACAAAATTGTTTTTAGTAATGTAGTACTAAATTACTAAACACAGTGGTAATTTTCTAATTCCCATAATACAATTAGTAATACAATTAGTAATTTAGAGGTGATGGGGAAAAATGTATCTGGGACACTGAAGGGAAGTGGTTGCATTTTGGGGCTGTGGACACTAAAGTAACATGAATTTTAAAGTGTTGATTTGTACACAGGATGATTTTACCTTACTGAAGATATTCATCTTAACTGAAGAACAGATATTTTCCATAGATAAAATCATCCTAGAAAGATAAAGATAATAATAAATTATACTAAAAACTATTTACCAATGAACATGTTAAGTATGTTAGTTACATATAACCTGCAATCATGAGAGAAATAAAATCCAGTGCTATTTTTTGTTTTGGCATTGCCTTCAGTTTTCAATATCCTTCTCTTGTTTAGAAAAAAACCAAAAATTTACTGGGTTTATTTATCCATCTGCTGTACTTAATGATTTTAGGATGATTACAAATAGTCTTTGCAAAATGGAGGAGTTTGCTTCCTATATTATTGTCCTGATATATTCAAAGTGTCAGTCATATGTCTTTTTAGTCCTTGTAACGAGCATTCTTTCTGAATTCCTAATTCCTAATTCCTAATCTTAGAAACTTTTCTTTTTTACTTTTTCCTCTTTTTTTTTTTTTTTTTGTCAGAAGACTATTTTCTTTGTCAAGAGAGACAAATTTGGACAACAGTAAACTGTGTTATTATAGATAGCACATCTGGTGTATGTAATCTTGCTGATTTGTTTGGTTATCTTATATGCTTCCTGAAAAGCGCCTTTAAATTTTTTTAGGTCTTTGTCCTTGCCACGTTTGGTATCTTTTATTTTAAGATGTATTTTTAGTGGTTATAAACAAAGTTTGAGAAACAAGCATTTAAGGACTAAATTTTTGGTATCAAGATAACAATGATTTATTTTGAATATAAATATTATATTTTGATTATTTTTCAAGGCAATAAAAAATAAATTAAGAGCAAACAGGGCATAAGAATTCAGAGATACTTAACCATGTATTTTTATATTAGGAATAGTTTGCTAAATCTTGCTTGCTAATTTCAAAAGAATTATCTATACTGGTAATGTGTTGTTGAAGCTTCTGTCAAAAACTTATTCTCTCCTTTAAAAAACTAAGGAATATTTTGAAAGAAAGAAACTTAAGTCGAAAATGAAGGTCCTGGAAGTATCATCTCCTAAGAGTTCAGCAGTCAGTTTGGATCTTCTTAATCTATATGTGGTTAACCAGATATCAATCAAAAAAGACAACACTGGTGAGTTTTGGGTATTCTGACTTCTCATAATTAATTGTTCTTAACTATTACTGCTGTTATTTTAGTTCTTGTTCTTCCATTTACAACTTAACCCTCAAATAAGCGTTGTTTTATTTTTAAAATAAAAAATTATATGAAAATTCAAAAATTATGACTGAATAAAAAGGACATAGGAGGAATCAAATAACATTGGCTCCTGCCTACTTCTCCTTTAAAGCCTTGTGCAGTGTCCTGGTTCCAGGCCAGGCCAGGGTTAATGTTTGCAGTAGCCAGGACAGGCGTGGCAAGGACCGTGAGGTGATTCTGCACTTCCTCACATCGTGCACAGGGGGCCGCAGGGGAAGGCGTCCTGTCTGGTGGGGTAATGGGAAGTGAGTGGCTCCCTGTGGTGAGCACCTACCTGTGAATCATCACTCTGTTATTAATATCCTTTCTTATTTCATTGCTGTTTCCAGTAAATTGTTCTTATCTCAAGCCATGATATTTACCTTTTGTGCCTCCAATTCTCCTACTACACACACTACCTCCCCCATTCTATTCATTAACTTTACCCCACATCCATTTCTTTTCCTCTTTGCTCTTGAATGGGTCCATTTCCCATCTACTTCCTTTTTCATAACTTTGGGGGCATTTGGAATAGTCTTGTCAGTTCTACCCAGATTATCTTTCCTAAAATCCATTATTAAACTTCTTGAGAAACCTCACTAAAATTTGAGTCATAGCTCTTTAAATGTAGATGTGGTACTTAAGGATATGGTTTAATGGTGGACTTGGCAGTGCTGGTTTAATGGTTGAATTCAAAGATCTTAAAGGTCTTCTTCAATCTAGACGAGTCTATGTTTCTATGATTCTTGTCATCTGTGACATATTCATAAACGAGATTATGGAACTTTATCCTATGCTCAGAAGGATAGAAGGTGACTGAGGAAAGCAACAGAACCTGTACACACACGGTGGCTGATTAAAATCATAAATAGTTTTATACTATCGTGCCATTTAGAATAGAGTTTTTGTATTGTTAACAGCTAAGAAAGAAACAAATATGACTTTAAATGGATTAAGAAATCTAAACCAATAGCTTTTGTACTCCAATGAAAATTCAGGAACCTCAAAGCTTTCTCCAAGCCCAGTAATGACATACCAAATACAATCATTGCAGAGAACATGCGGAAGCCAGTCCACATTGATATCACTGAAGATGAAAAAAAACCTATCAGGAGACATAACTTGGAGCTTCCCACGTCACCCCTACGAACACAGCACAAGTCAAACTTAGACATTCTCCAGAGCAGGTACTTGTATAAAATAGGCAATAGTTATACAACAATGTGACAGTGAAGTTCTGGGAGAGGAACTTCACGATAGTTTTAACATACCATTGTAAACAGGGAAGTTTCACAGCCACTTCTGTCATTCCAGTGATACTCTTACTGTGGGAGAGTAATTAATAAATTCTAAATAAAAAACTGCACATGAAACTGTCTGTACATACACTAAGTTTATCTCAAGGAGCAAGTTATTCAAAAAGTATTACCCACTTAATTGTTTTCTCATCCAGCTTTGGACACCCTAAAATTGCCAACTCACAGACAGGCTGCTCATAACTACCTAAGAATAAAGCTGTTTTAAGATGTATTGAAAAATATTCATAAGTTATTTTGAAATTAATATTCAGAATATTTTAATCTTTTGGATCTTGTATTTCATAGTCTGTTTTAATTAATTTTACAAGGTTACAAAAGCAAGTTTTGGACAGCAGAAGACAGCATCTCTCAGAAAAAGTAAAATACCAACATAATGTAAGTTTATTGTTCTTTTGATATAAAACTCAAAATGTGCAGTAATTACTGTATTTTTAAATGATTTTTCAAAGAGAGGCCAAATCTCATGGATACTGAAACACATGAAGTCTTCTTTCGCTTTAGGACTATATTGATAAATTATTTTCCTGCTACAACTTACATATTTATTGAAAAAAAGCTAAAAATGTATTTATATCCATCTCTCCTCAGGATAGCATTTGTGTGCATGCTTCAGATTAAGTAGGTACTTACATATTTCCCTGAAATAAGAACTTATTGCCTTAAACTTTTCATGAAAAGTCATATCGGAACAGAAAATTTTCTCTTCTTTGTGGTTTATGTGCAGAGATGTAAAAGATATTGAATGGCTTGATTACTTTGAACTTTATGCTTAAATCAAATCAATTTTAGATAAATAAAATATCTCTTTGTTATGTTTTGTCTAGCTGTCACAAGGAACGGAATTACGCTATATTGATTCTAGTATGGAAAATGAAGACAACATGGCAAGAGTTTTTAGTGCTTGTCCATTTTCCTCCTCTGGTTGTCAGTTCTCTAAGCATACACAACTTTCAGAAGAAAATTTCAACACAAACCTAATGGGCAACATTTGGGAAAAGACCTATGAAAATAAGCTGCAAAACCAGGTTTGGTTAATATTTTACTTCCACTGAATTATTTTAAACTAACTTTCATTTATTTGGTGTGTAAAACTTGTGTAATGGTGATGGCAATTATGACTGATCAACATTTTTTGTAGGCTGGTGGCAATGAATATTCTGTATATATAAATATATTTATTTTATTGTTCTGAAATGACCTCAGCTTGGGCTTTTTTCACTGAGCTCTCAGTGTTGCTGATATCTACAGAGAGAAAATTAGTCACATACTGGTGGCTTTTTTTTTCCTGGCTTGTAAATTTATATAAAGAAAACTGAAATATAGTTAAAAATACAGCTTTCTTAAACATACAGTTAGTGTAACTGGATGTTGCATGAATACAGGTGATTCCATGACATAGTTTTTTATCTTTTAATGTCTCAATAAATAACATAGCTCTTACAGTATTCTCAGTGCTCTGCTGTTTAACTCCTTACTTTTAAGAAACAATAGAAAGTTATTTGTTCTGATGCATGTTACTATTTCTTCTTTTTGTTAATTTTGTGATACTTAAAAAAAATCATCCTTAGAAAAGTGATAGCAAATATAATATTGTTTATTTTTAATATATTATTAACTGGAAATAATAAAACAAATTCTATGTGTTTCACCAGTGGTATTCTGAAGTCTTGAGGTAAGTGAGGAAGGAATGCTCCAGGAGTTGGGGAGATGACGAGTTGTTCAGGGAGTGAGTAGGCCAAAACCCACAGGAAGCTGACCTGAAGAACAAAGAAGCCCAAGTAATATGTTTTCAAAACACAAGAACAATACACCCCTATGTGCAAGAGAATGATTAGATTTGGAGGCCAGTTTGGCTGAATCAGGGAACTCCTGACTGAGGTCAAATGCAAAGAGAAAATATACAAGGAGGGATGGGCAACCCAGGAAGAAGACAGGAGTATCCCCTCAGCTTGGAGGGGTGGTATTAGGATGGTCAGAGCTGAAAATCATAATGGGTGAGAACAGCAAGGAAGACTTCTGTAGGTACGTCATCAAAGAAAGGAAACCAAGGAAAATGCTGTCCACTGCTAAATAGAGTTGAGACCTAGTGACAAGGACATGGAAAAGCCTGAGGTACTCAAAAACTACTTTGCTTCAAGCTTTTCAGACAAGATCTGCTCTCTGTCTCATCTTAAAATGCAGTCAAGAGTTGTGGGGAGTTGTATGAACCAGCAGGGAAGGAACAAGTTAGAGAATCCACAGTAACCTGGATATATAGAAATATATGAGACTGGACAGAGTCCAACCCAGTATATTCAGGGTGTTGGATGACACCACTGCAAGGCAGATATTTATCACCCTTGTAAGACTGGTGATCACAGCTTCCCAGTGAGAAGAAATGCACAAATATTATGTCCATCTGCAAAAACATAAGCGTGATTTGGGGAAGCATCATCTCTGTCCCTGGAAGGATTAATTTGCCAGAGGCAATTCCAAGGTACATGAGGAACAAGGTGTCTGCAAACAGCCGTCAGATTTTCCACGGTCATACTCTGCCTGCTGGACCCAATTGCTTTCTATGATGGAATTAGTAACTCTAGGAATTAGAGAGAACAGCAGGCATTATTTACCTTGACTTTAGGAAGGCTTTTGACAAAGTTTCCCATGGGATTCTAGTAGCCAAAATGGGTAGCTATGAATGAGATGAATGGACAATAGGATGAGAAAAAACTGTTACTGTCATGCTCAAAGTAGTCATCTGTTGGCTAAAGTTTGTTTGGCAACAGTTGGGCTGTAAGGAGGTCTGAGCTTCTGCTATAAAGATATAAAGAAATAAAAATAATGGGAAAATATGTATATTTTTGGAAACTCAAGCTGAAAGTTTTAAAGACTGTAACAATTATGTATATTCACAGTTTGACAGCTTCTACTGTTTTCTCAGCCAGGAAACAGCTTTGATCAAGACCCTTGGAATACAAAACCTCCAACCCAGGGTATTTTCAGGAAGTCTGATACAGTGCCTCAGGAACTGCTGTTCAAGCCGTTTGATAGGTAGGCAGTGATTTTACATTAATGAGGAAAATAACAGTCAAGTTTAATTAAGAAAAACACTAAAATAATCTGAATCTTATTGTTACTTGGCTTTTTCACTAACTGTTTTTCAAATAGAAATTGAGATCAAATGGAAATACTAAACATACAAAGCTATTTAAATTTGCTGAAAAGCAGCACAGTCTGAATTTTGGGTAGGCACTTGGAACCATGATCTATTTTTTGCAATGTCACAGACATGATAGTGTTGCTGAATTCACCTTGAATGATAGCACAGATTTACTAAGAGGCCATGAGAAGGGTGAAGCTTCTGCAGGGTGAAGCTGCCCCAAGTGTTAGTAGTTCAGGGCACTATTGGGAGTCCTTTTCTGATGATATTGATGCAATAGCAATTGAGCATCTGTACCTACATTATTAATACTAGGGATTCCAGGAACAAAGCATTTTCTTTCCTCCTCTTTCATATGTGATCCTACTACAGCTTTCTTTTTTTCCCTGTAACTGATTCAATGATACTTTCTATGCGAATATACACTTTGTTTTTAAAATAATGTTTTTAAAATAGAAATGTTTTTGAAATGTTTTTAAAATAGAAATTAAGAATATATTTCTTTTTGTATGTGCTGATCTTTCAAATCACAGGTGGTTTAGGGCCAGACTTATTTGTACTGAACACTTTATTTTATTTTCTTTTAAGAGACTCTCCCTTGGACCTAGAGGTCTTACACAGCCAACCTTACTTTACTCCTTCTATTCCATAAGTCTGCCATTTGGTTGAAAGTTCCTGTCCGTCTCTGGTTTAGGCTAGATAGAGGCATAAAAAGGCCATACATTATTTTGCTGTTCCTGAAGTGCCTGCAGCCTGTTTGCTTGGGGAGTCATGTGACCCATAAACTCACTGGACAAATAATAACTAAACACATCAGCCACCTTAACTTCCACTCTTCTTGTAGATTCTCCTGGCTTTCTCCAGCAAAACCTAAAGTGAGCATAGAGTTCACTTTGCTGAGTGAATTCCTAATTAATATATTTACATGGAGCCCTATATAACCTTATCTCACCTACATCTCTCATTTCTCCACCAGCTATCAGGCCTGCACACATCTGCTTATGTTACATCCTCTCATCTTCTACCCATTCATGGGTCACTAACAACATCTCCTTTCCAACTGCTCTGCAAATTTCTTTCTTTCTATTCTCTGTGTTTTGTTTTCATCCATTGTAGCCATAAATTCTTACACCTCAGGAGATCACAATTCTTTTGTGAAGGGAGTTTCACTGTATGTGAAAAGTAGAGTATAAATTTATACAACTGTTTAATGTAACATACTGACAATATAATCAATGTGCATAATTCTGAAAGCTGTGGAACCTCAATGTTATTAAATATTAATTGAAAGTTTTCATGCCATATTTCCTCATCTACTCTTAAATTTTACTTTGTATTACAAAATATTCAGATGGACTCTCTGAATTGCTTCACAAAATAGTTTTGCCTTCCTCATGTAGACCTATCCAAGTATCTTCAGGAATAAACTCTAGTGTGTTTAGCCTTCTAAAACTGTCCCAGTGATGTTTCTGTAAGTACAGGAAACTAGTTCCTCATTTAAGTTTCATAGAATCTTTATCCAATTCCAAGTATTTGCTGAACAAACACCACAGGTGTTTTCTCCAGTAAGAGTTTTCTGTACTGCATTTCAGTTTTCAAGTTCTATTGATAGCTTTGCTCAGAACACTTTAAAGGAAGGCTTTTTTTAAAGGGCTTTTTTTGAATGGCCTTTTTGCCAGATCTCTGTCCTTCAGAAGAATCTCATCTTTTTGCTCAGAGTTTCTGAAAGGTCAGTCAGCAGATCCAGCCTGGAAGCCAGTCAGTGAAAATGCTAGATTAAGAGCCAAGTAAGTGAAAGCATGATAGCTTTCATGTCCATGATGCTCACATAATAAAATCTTCAAAACCACTGCTCTCAGAAGTGGGGTAGGGAAGTAGGGTAACAAAATGTCTGACTGACCTCCTGACACTGGAACAGAAAAATTCTGTGCTGAATCAGGATTACTGATTTCAAGTACAAATGAAAGTCACTTGTTATGGGTTTTCAGTATGGAAGAGAAATATAGTCTTAAGCAAACTACTTTTATGAAGGGGAGAAACTATCTTCCTCTTTATTTATTTTCCTCCCATTTTCTTTTTCTCCCCGAAGTGGCTGCCTTTGGTCAGCTGGTGGAGCAGCAGTGACATACTGTGGCTGATTTTATAAATCACAGTTCCCTGTCCAGGAGGATGTGCCTCATGGCTTTGTATATTTGGAGACATGAAGAAATAGAACCTCTTTTAAATCAATCTTGCTATAAAGTAGATATAAAACATAATAAAATACACAGTTTTTCAGTTGAAATACTGTATATTTAGGAAAAAATCAAATGTAATGAGCAGTGAAGTTTTTGAGATTTTTATCATCAAGTTACTATAAAGTGTTACATTAACAGTGAGTCTTTTGCTTATTTGTGTACTCAGAAAAATGTTTTTTCTTTTCTCCTCCTGTTACACCTCATTGCCTACCTCCAGGCCAGACTGCATGAATTCAGCCAGGAAAAATCCAGTGATAATAGCCAGTAATGAATCAGACAACTGTGAAGGAAAACAAGAACCAATATTTGATGTTGTGAAAGAAATTGAAGAACTAAAAGGTCCCCAAGAGGGAAGTGGTTGTTCCTTTCTGGCACTATTTGAAGAGGAGACTCAACCAATCCATAATAATCCTTCCACAAAGCATTTTAATTCTTTTTCTAACCAAAGCAACACTGATGTTTTTTTCACTGTTCCTGATGTTAGAAATCAAATTACCAACAGAAATTATTCTTATGATACTGAAAGGGTTTATCCTGCAATCAATGCAAAAGAAAATTCAGTAGACAGACACCTTGAGGGCATTTTCACAGCTCCAGAACAGGTTTTCCTTAAAAGTAACAATGCATCAAGTACAAGCTATGAGGAAACCAGTAGACTTCATAAAACCCACCTGCAGAAATGCCATGAGGGACAGCACTACTTCATACCCTGTGAAATGAAAGGAAAAAGAGCAAACCTTGAAAAAATTGGTGCGTGTCACATTTTACAGACATATATTCTGGGTTTTATTCTCCTTTTAAAGACATATGTTCTTATAACCAGAGATGTGTCTGCCCTGACTGAAAACGTCATGTATCTTCAGAATGCAGTCACATAATTTTAAATCCAACTATTTAAATTATTTTAAAAACTTTTCAGAAACTTTTATATTCAAATTGCATTTATTCTATTGCATTTCAAAATCAAGGTTTACTATTTTTCAATTTTAGAGACATTTGCTTATCACCATGATCAGCAGAATGGCCTAAAGGAGAATGTGCATAATTCTTCAAGAAAAAAAAGGTGAGTGTCATGGAAATTACCAATATATTAACCAGAAATAACTGCAAAGACCTTGCTGAATTGGAGAAATCATGCTAAGAGCACAGGATGGCAAAATTCTGAACAGTATTACTGAGGACTCAAGTTTTCTCTGTGAGAATAGTACTGTACAATGTGAATGAATTTATGCGCAGGTAAGCCCATTATACGTCTGTGTATCTGCCCATAATAAGTACACAGAAATACTTCATGGGACAGTTTGGAGTTCCTGAAATTCAGCTGTCGATCTGGCTTGTCCTCTAAAATACTCTGTCTCATTCCATTGGCTACAGAGCAAGTGTCTTCCATGTGCTGAGTGCTCTGTGTTTTCCTAAAGACTTGTTTTTCAAAGACTGATACATAGCACCTTCCATTTTACAAAACAGCACTATCTTCTGCCATTGTTTTGACTCAATTTTTTTTGACTCCTTCAACAGAAATGAAGTTTATGAAAAACATATTCTTGGTGTTAAATCTCAGGTTCAGAGATAAGTCCAGTGATCTCAGTAGTGGAGAGCATTTAATGGTTACTGAAGACAAAATAAAAATTGAAAAGTCACCAGTAAGGGCTTTAACACAGAAAGAAAATAGAAGTACTGGGGGAAAATAACTTACCAGAGAACTTTGTGTTTGCATTCCTCAGTGATGACAAGCCTGTGAAAGAAACAGCCTGGAATCAGAACCATCTCTTTATATTTGAAGAGGTAACTTTAAAAAATGTTTCTTTTTTGTCAAACCCACTGTTTGCATGATCCATTTGAGATGGAGAAAGATTGTCCACAACAGTTAGAGACTGAATATAGCTTTACTGAATTAACTGCCGTGGAAGCTTCTTTTCCATCATGGAATTCAGAAAGAACTGCTGCTAGTGACATGGTTCAGCCCTTCTAGGTCCACAGTTCACATGGTTTCATTAACCTCAGCTGATGCCTGAAAGATGTTGAATAAGCTACCCATCAACACTTAGGATCAGATCTTGCTGGCAATGCCCGGACATTATATGCAGGATGCTTCTGTGTTATAAAGGAGCTTTGTGCCAGTATACATATAAAAACTGTTTCAGACATCTTGCCTGTAGAAGCCACATATGGTACTACTCAGGAGTAAAAATACCTCTTAAATAATTTGTGGTACAGTGCAGTAACTCCTTTATGTAAATACAGAAACTGAATGTTCCTCTCTAAACCTGAGATGCTAATCCAGCTGAACCCTCACTATTAATATGTTATTATTTTTAACAGTTCACAACAGCACAAGAGGAAAGATATAAGTTTGGAGTGAGTTCATATCTTCATGAGATGGAGATGGGTTAGTACTATTTAAACATTATCACTTAAAATTTTTTTCTCTGCATGTGAAACTGAAACAGCTATTTTTAAAGCCAAGGAGAATGATCTTTTTGGGATGTTAACTTTGGTGAGGGCTTGTATTTCTGATTCACACAGCACTGTAAAAAGACAACTAGCATTATCAGGTAACTAAGAATTAGCTGTTTTTGTTTTTCCTTGAAGAGATATTCTCTTCCACTAGACTATATGCTGTCACTCCACATGTGGACAGAGGGAGCAGAGTAAGCTAGGCAATCCTACATCCTTCCTAGTCTCTCAGTTGCTGTAGGGTCAGCTGTGCTGGCTCCATTTCACACTGGAAGATCTCTCAGGGGCCTCCAAGAGAGAAATATGTAATGGCAGCCACTGTGCACATGGAGTCTGCTGTGTTCTCTCGCAGGCTGTGCTCTACAGAGTCACTCCTCCTTTTGAGTAGCACAGTTCTGCTGCTGATTAACAGCACAGCTGAGGCTTTGGGGAACCAATCTCACAAGCTCTGTTGTGTTGACCTGAGAAGGACTGGCTATTGCTAAGAACTAGATTCACCTTGCTAACATCTTATTCTTTAAACAGTATCTCAAAACTGCATCAGAAATAGTAATGTTTAATTCTAGGTGCTGTACTTGAGAGTTGGATCTTTGGGGAATGTTTGGTGAGTAACCTTTCTTTCTTTTTTATCTAATTTTTCAAGATGTGGAGTCACCACTCAGCAGCCTGTCTCACAGTTATTCCCCAAGGCAGACTGAGAGCTATTTGAGCTCTAGTCCTGACACAGTGAGTAAACCCTTGTAGGCTGGCTTTATTTGAATCATGTCTTTATGCCCGAGTGCCATAGGTGGATGTAGCTGGAATCTCATTTTGTTTTGCATGAGATAACTTCACATGTGATGAGAACAATAAATTATTAGCTGTAAATCTTCCTAAGTAGTTTGACAGACATGTGGTCTGTTCTCTTGATAATGACTGGCCTCGTGGAATTAGCATGACTGTGGGAAGATGCTAAGTAACGTTCTATGCTCTTCCTGTTTGTATAGCTTCCTTAGATTACATGCCTGTAAAACAGAATGATTTGACACACTGTGTTTTCAGTCACTCTTGAACACAAATGTGCCATGGTGTAAGAGTCTAAATTGCATGTGAGAGTGAAAGTCTGCCTTGGCCACCTTCGCTTCACCAAGAGCCAGAGGTACATCCTTGGAGAAGGAATGAAAAAACCTGCAAACAACCAAAAGCAGACAGTTCTGGCCTTTCTGTTTAGTTCTGGCCTTTCTGTTTAGTTCTGACCTTTCTGTTTATTTCACTTAGTTATTAGCAAGTCATTACTTTAGTCTTTAGTTACTGAACTATTGGAACCGTTACAATTGCACCATTCTGTTCAAACAGTCTGAAGAAGAAGAGACAGCCAAAAAGAAGGAATATCTGAATGAACAGTTCTTGAAGGCACATGATGCCTCCCTATTCTCAGCCTCAGCAAGCAGAGAGGCTCCCAAGAGCTCCCACACAGAAAGTGTGGGTACGCAGCCCAGCAGTACTTTGGCTAGAGAAGAAGCAAACAATCTTCAGGAGAAAAACTTTGTTTTTTGTGCCACAGAGGTGGAAAATAAAACCCACACAGCCTTGTCTCAGGGTGCATCACACCGTGCTCCTAAGAGGGAGCATGTCACTCGCAGCACCAGGTGCGATGTTTGGTCGCAGACCGAGGGCTGTGTGACAGAAATAGAGAAGGTGGATGTGGGCACCCAGTGTGGCACCTTGAGGGTGTGCAGCTGTGGGGGATCCCTCCCCGCTGCCCGCAGCCCGGGCGGGGTTCGTGCACCCAGCACTGCCGGCGCTGCAGGAGAGCACGAACGGCCGGTGCAGGAGGTGCCGCAGCCCGCGGGCACCGGCAGCGCAGCTGGGACAGACGCCCTCTCCTCGGAGACCGAGTACCTCAGTTTGGCTGGCAGAAGGACTCTAGAGGTGCTGAACTACATTGATAAAATGAAGGAGAGAAATATGCAGTGATCAACTATGGCACGTAAAGAACACAATAATTTTGTCCTGTTCTTGGTGTATTTCATTCGATTGACATATTCTGATTTTTCTAGCATAGTTAGCCAAAGAATATTTTTACTGTTTGCTTTAACTATCAGTAATTATGGGTTTCTGTCTACCTACTGCTATCTCAAAGTATGGGTTTCTATAAATATCCAACTACTAACAAAGGATTTTACAGTAGCCTAATAAATACAAATGTTAGGAATTATATTGGTTTCCTCACCATATAGAATTCTGTAGTTTGGAATTGATTCACTATGTTTATTTTAACGTAATGGGATGATGTTGTTCTACTTCAAAACATATTTAGTGTGGCTCTGAGTTCAGAGCCATTGTCTGATTCTCACCCATTTTAACAGAAAAACTTGCCTTTGTCATGTGTTCATACTAAACACAAACATGGGAAACAACAGAAAATATACATCTGCACACATAGAATGGAATGTAATTTTAAAAGTGCTAATTTATTACATTTTTAAAAAATGTTCAATTTTCCTTCCATAGCAGATCCATTCATTCATTTTCTGGCTGTTAATCTAAAAAATCTTTCATGTGTTCCTGTATTCTGTCTGCAAATTAAAAATCTGAATTACTTGCCTCTTCATTTCAGTATTTGTGTGAAGCTACAAATCACAATAAAAGTTTCTGGTAATATTGTTTCTAGGTTATATTCTTGCCTTCTAAAAAGGCCTTTACCTCATGGTAAAGGGGTCAGGGAGACTCCTTGTTACTAACATCAACTTACAGATCCATGCACCTTCACTTCTATATAGGTATCTCTCTGTCTTAACTGTGTGTGTATGTGTATGTGTATGTGTATATATATATATATAAAAACCTGTGTATATATATCTATATACATATGGCTATGTACATATATAAATGCCTGTGCTGGCACTAGCCAGCTGGCTGCATGCAGGGTTCCTCTTCTTCACAAAATGGGTGCTGCACTATATTAGGAACGGTGAAGCAGTACGACATAGACTCTCTAGCTGGGTTATACAAGACAGCAAGTTTTATTATTCCCAATCTTCATTTATATGCAGGTCTGAGAAGGTCTGAGAGGTAAAACTCTCATTGGTCATTAAACAAACACATCACTATTATTGGACAATTGGGTACACCACCTCTTGACCTTTTCTTGCAAGAAAACAACAGGGATCCAAACAACACCTGCAAAGGTTGTCGTCCTTCTCCAAGGACTGTTTGGATTCCTCCTTATGATTTCTCAGACCAGAGTGAGAACCTTGTGTGATTTAGTTTCACACAGGCTCTGTGCTCCCTGCCTGTTTTCAGCATCCATAAATGGGCTTGGGCAAAAGCTACACTGGAGATTTCCTTAAACAGAAAAGGAGATTTCCCTCTATAAGGTTAATATATTGTGCTTTTCTCTTGGAGACTGCTGTTAAAAGATTCACTGCCCTTATTCCCACCAGGTCAGGGTTTTTTCTATGTTTTGTAGAAGGGGTGTCACCCAGCCTGGATGGGACTCGTCACCATTCTTTGTCTCTGTTCTCACTGTTGAACTAGTGGCTGCTTTTGCTGCTACATTTTATTTTTGAAGCTAAGAGCCATTTTTAAAAGAAGGTCTACATTGTTCAAGAGTTTGCAGGTTTATGGCTGTGCTATTTTTAAAAATAGCAGCTCAGAAATTTCAGTGGACTTTACTTGGAAGAAAATAGCATTGTCTTTTATATGTATAAATTGCATACATAGGAAGTGGTTTGAACAGGCAGATACTTAAACTGTGTAACTATCACTTAGCCAATTCACTGCCTGCTTCCTAAGGCTTGACATAAGCAGATTTTCTTTTTTAGGTTGCCTCAATTTATTGTCAAAGCAAACTCCCTAGTAATTTTTTTTAAGCTGCAATATTCATCTTCTTCACAGGAGATATAATTTATTTGAATAACAGCTATGATTTTCTGACGGCTCAGCTTTTACCAGTGGTTTCTAAAGCATAGTTTTTCACTCAGTATGACGAAGTCAATTCAGATTGTGCCACACCAGCAGCAGCCCATGCTGCCTTGAATGTTGCTATCCCAACAGACCCTCACACCTGGTATGTACCTGCCAGTCCTTCCGATGGGTCTGTCCAGCTTCCCAGCCATCCCCACAGCTGATGTGTCCCCAAGGCACTTGGCCTGCCAGCCTGCAGTACACTGTAGCAGAGGCCAGAGAGTGGCACATAACAGCTAAAGGGTCCAGCACTGTGTGCTTTAGACTGGAGGGGTTTTATTACCCCAGCAGATGTAAAATTGCCTCACGGCCAAAGGGTTCTTTGGTGTCTGGGTTAGAGTGGTGCTGGTGACCCAAACAGAGATGAACTGCTATTAACTTGGAGTGGAAGTTCTGCTCCTGGTTGCTCTGATGGTGGCATTGTTGCTGGGACTTTTAAACCGTGGTTGGTTTTACACTGAAGGTACCCACATTCAGGCAGATACTCCAGATCTGCAGAGGTGGCCTCTGAGCAGACATATTCCCAGTCTGTGCCTGTGAACCCATGGGACAAAGAACGCAGGTTGGAATGCAGGAGGGAAAAGAGGGACAGTTGCACCATATGGGTGTATGTGTGGGGGTTTTCAAATGCTCTTTATAAAGTTATTGCTCATATTTATCATCATTTAAAGATTCTCAGTGGGTATTGCTTATTTTACTTCAGCCACTGATATAGAAGCTCTCACAATCTATCCAGTTCCAGCCAGGTTTCAGCCTGGACTGCAGTGAAATTCCACTGCCCAGTGTGAGAACCCTCTGACTGTGTGAGTCACCCTCTGACTGGCTGTATATAAGAGCTGCATACATGTCTCTAATGCAATAATTCACCACCTGGGATATCAATCACTGTAGATAATAATGTTTCACAGCCTTTGGATGAGAGAATATAAATTCAAATTACAATCTTCCTTCTACCTGTAACTGCAAAGCAATCTGAAGAAAGAAAACTATCTTTGTAGTGGTTTGTGTGCTGGCAATGATGACAAGTAAGGTTGTGTGCTTGTTTTAGTGATTAGAGAAGTATTTTAAAGTATTTACATTACTATTATTGCATTAAAAGAGGCTCACGCTTTCTCCTTAGCCCAGCACCAGTCTGCCCCTCTGCTCAGGTGCTTTCTTTTCCCTGACTTTTTTGGCGACTTCAGGGAAGAGCTGTCTTTGGTTTACTAGGAAGTAGTAAACTCAAACTGTGCTTTCTTCAGCTGATAATTTAACAGCTGATGCTATCAATATTTGTAGCCTATTGTGATGACTGTCATCTCACTAAATGCATTCAGGCACTACCAGCTTTCTCTGAGGCAACAGCTTAGGCAAAGACTCCCCTTTTTCATCTGTGTCATTCTTCCTGGCAGCATGCTGAGCCTCCAGGGAGGCCATGGAAATAAACATGTTTTTAACTGTTTTGTAAGCATCAATTATAAGTAGAGTTTTGCTGGGGAAAAGGACAGAAGGGTACCTCTAATTAACCAAAAAACCAGGAGCATTTGTTTATCAGTGGTAGTCAAATGCTTCTAAACACAGATTGAAAGACTCTCATTGCAAATACTACCATAAGCTTCAATGGGAATCAGTTTTAATATGCAGCTTGTAATTTTATTTCCCTCTAAAATCAGTTCTAATTACAGTAACCTGCAAGATAAGGTTTTCTGGGAAAGTGCCAAAAGAAGTTTGGTCATTAATGGGCAGTTTGTTACTGGATGTTTTGCCAAAGGTGTCCACAAACTTTGTAGAAATTCTTATTTCATTTTCATGAAGGATTATCATTATAGGAAATGAGAGGCTTAAGTCTTCATACAAGTAGTTATTTCTCTGGTAGAAACTGAATTGGTTTTTTAAGGGTTTCAGTGGATAGCAGATTGAGGAAGGATGAGGTTTCCTGGAAAAAATATTTAACTCTCTGTATCCAGTGCCTAATCTGTCCTCATGAAAGTCAATGACCTTTCTGCAATGCTTCTTCATCCTCTTCTCCCTGACAGCCTCTGATGGGTTAGAGGTGACAATCCAGTCACCCAGATCAGAGCTTGCTTCTCCAGGGCCGGTGATGTGGAACTCCAGCCAGGTCTCCTGATCCTGAGCTGAATACTGAACGTTTTCCCTCTCTCCAACCATACTGCAGTGACTCCACATCCTGACGGTGCTTGCTCCAGGTGCTGCAGCCCTCTGGATGTGCAAGCTGACAACCAGCGCACGGTGAGCTCTCACACAGCACACAGCTGCAGAGGGTGCTGATACACCAGCTCTGTGTGAGGTGATGGGGAATCTTGGGCCCAAACAGAGGTGGAGAGTGAGTGAGTCAAGGCAGAAGGCTGAAAGAGGCCTGTTGAATTATTTAATAGAGCTGAGAGAAAACATGTCCAAATCAACCATTTTTGCTCGTTTGCAGAGAGAATGCTGTGATTTACTGCCAGTGTGTCATGCCTGATCAGCACATGGGTGCTGGCCTGGCTCAAGGACCCAGAGCTGTGGCTGATTATAGGACAAACCAATATGTCTTATTGCAGAAGATTTATTTCATTTCCTGGGCTGGAGTCATTATTGGGAAACAGGAGGTCTGTAAGGAGCTTTGCTCACCAGAGAAGCTGCACTCCATGCAAATGAAAGAATTTTTGGAGAACCCCCAACTAGCTGAAGCTGGCAGGCATCTCCAAGCCTGCCCAGTGCAAGCCCCACTCATAGCAGGGCCAGCTGGAGCAGGGTGCTTTGGGCCACGGCCAGCTGCTATCAGCAGACACCCGGCCTGGGGCTGGGGGAGTAAGCCCTGCCAGGTAAGGGACCCCAGGGAAGCTGCCAGGTAAGGGACCTCACAGCAGCTGCTGCAGATGGAGGCAGCCACTGCCTGAGCCGTTTCCTCCCTGTGCTGAGAGCAAGGCAGGGGCCTGGGGCTGGAGGAAGGGGAGCTGTAGGTGTATGGGGAGGGAGGCTGGGTGCTGCTGCTGCCCTGCCCAACCTCCTCAGAGCACAACTCCTGC